GCTTATTTCTATTTCTTTGTTTCGAGGGGAGGGTTTTCATATCCTAGTGATTATGCTGCTCATCAATGAGAAAACAATGTACTACTGCTACTGGTTTTCTAAGTTGCATTAGCGGATTTGTCTTGTTTAACTATTTGCGCATTTAAGCCTTAGAAAAGTAAACAATCTTAAGAATTATAAATAATATATGGTTTTCCGAGCAAAATAATTTCATGTCTTAAGGTGTTTTTCCTCCTAATTATAGTCTAAAAGCTCTTCATTCTTTTCTTTTCTTTTCTGGTTGTTTGGTTTTCCTGCGACTTATATTCCTTCATGTTTTCCTATAAAGACTGCAAAATCATGAAGAAACTTGTAGCGTGCAAAAGAATTAAGTTAAAACCGATAATATTTATTTGTTTTCTTCCCCCTCGTTTTCTATGTAGTTCACATATATGCAATTCTTGAGAGTTGAGGCATGCATGCATAATTAGCACCTGTTTTGTTTGGGTAGTAAACTGTGGGATGCTGAAGAACAATATTGTTGTATTAAGACTTAGAATACGTGCACTATAACGTATATACTTGACCAGTTTAATTTGGTATGCTCTGTTTTATACATTAAGCAAGCAACATTCGATCGCATACATCAAATCTTATGCTTAAGAAAACCTTGCATTAAATTTACACTCCCATCTTCTAAACCTTCTAAAATCACCCCCTTCTGAAACTGCCATTCCAATCCCACCCCTTCCCTCAATCCCAACCCCTCTATAGTACAGCCTCCACTCATCTTCTTTCCCCTCTCTCCTCTTCCCCGCAACCCTCTCCCTCTCTCTCTGACACTCTTTGCAGCAACAACCCACAGCAGCTACTCCATCGCAACCATCATTTTGGTCGTCCGAGGAATGCTGACATGCCATTGCTGAGGCGCAGAAGGATCAGCTGTGATTGCATCTTTTGCATAATTGCAACCTTCTCCCATACTGTTCTCCGTTTTCTTTTTCAAATTTCTCTCTTTTCAACAGGAAGAGCAAATCAATCACTCTTCTCACTGAGACCTAAAATTGTGGGATTCAAAAAGTCCCAAAACATAATTGTCGTAAAGTACAAGTTTAATTTAGTGGGGGTGTCTTTCCTTTTCTTTTCTATTTTTCTCTTTCTGGGTTATTTATCTATCAAATATGATTTCGTTGAATGATGTTTTTGGGAAGATGCTCTTGATTAAGCAATACAAAAAACTGGGTTTTTTTTTCTTTCTTTTTTTGTCATGAAAAAATTATTTGAATGTTCTTTTGTTTTTCCTCTCTTATTGAAAGATTACATAGTTGTTGCTGCAAAGAGTGTGAGCGAGGGAGAGATACAGAGGGAGGGAGAGAGTTACTAGGAAAAGGATAGAGAGGTCGAGGGAGGGGGAGGAAAGAAAAAAACAGAAAAGAAAAGAAAAAGGCGTAAAGGAAGAAAAATGCGGAGTGTGATGGGTTGTGGGCCCCGTTTTATTTTTTAGTTCTTAATTCTCACATAAAAGTCAGGGTTAATTATAGTTTAGTACCATGTTATGTGTTTAGGACAAAATGGAAGGAATTGTGCTAAACTGCTTGGGTTTGGTGACCTTGGTGGACCTCCATTGTCTGCTGCAGAAGAATACTTGCTTCATTCAAGATACCTTGCTAAAGCAAATTCTCTTAACCTTTCTGAAATTGCAGAAATGAAAATTGTGTGGATTGTCTTGTGTTGCAATCAAATTTAATGTCTATTTCTGTTACCGAGGTGGGGTTGACAGTGAGGGTCATCCTGTAATGGTAGTTGTTTCTGAGATATTTATCAAGCTTATGATTTACAGGAGTTTGAACCCATCATACAGAAGAAGCCTCATACTATTGTGTACTTCCACTTGCAGAATCTTTACAGCTGTAAGTTCTTCATAGTCAAGTTTCTCTCTCTCTCTCTCATGTTCTCCACTGTGTATAGTATTATTGTTCTAAAGGATTGCATAATTTGGTCGCCAAAGAAAAAATGGTGCAAGGTCTATCACTCAGTACTTTCACTGCATCACGTAATGGTGCGGTGGGTGGATCGATGCCTTCGTGGAGGAAGCATTTCAATGATTGCACTTCACAATTTATACAAACTAAAGCAAAAATCATAAAACATAGAGTCCAATAACAAAAATCTCAACTTTGTTGGTTTGAATATCTTTCGTGCACCCAAATGAGTGGCCGACGACATTTCTTGAGGATAAAATAGAGAATCCAATCTTTAATATGCTTGTTAGCGATCAAGGAAGTCAATTCATCATCTATTACAAGGAAGTGGAATTCTACAAGTATGGCATATTTACTAATCCGTAATTGGATTAGGGGGAATTGAATTAAGGAGAAATTGAATTGAGGAGAATTAGATTCCGAATTCCTATTGAAGTTGTTTACTAAACCATATGGATTGAGAGGAGTTAGATTCTATATTCCTATTGAAGTTGTTTACTAAATCATATGAAATTGGGGTAGGAGTGGTACTAATTACTCAAATGTCCTCGTTGTTGGGTTAAAGTATATGACAAATTTGAAATTTTGAATATTGTGTGAGGATATAATGGGTAAAAAAGATGAATTCCTAATGGGTTCATTCTTCATGAATTAGAATACCACCTCCCACCCAGGAATTGAATTCCTCCAAAATCAAGAATTCAATTCCTAATTTTGTGTGGTTCCCACTTACTTTTCAATTCTTTGATGTGAAGTAAACGCAGGAATCCTCCATATGCGAAATTCAATTCCTGATTAGTAAAAACATCAGTAATGTCTCTAACAACTCTAGCGCTATCAAGCTTCCTATATAAGTTCTCATCAAAACACCGCCTGCATGATGCCGAAACTTGTCATACTTGATCTCCTTGCTCGGTTCTAATCTATTCAAGTCTGCCCCGTCCAAACTTGCATCAAGCATTGTCAAGAATTTTTCATAGCAAATAACTAGAGGTAAGAGTTGCGCTATTTTTCATAGCTAATAAAACCTTAGGTTAGACAGTGACTATGATGTCAAAAAGAGATACCGTCCTATTTTATATTGGATAAAGTTGTATAACTTTTGTAATCAAATTAATTAAATAAGTAAAATAAAGGTAACTTTTCGAATAATAACCACAAATGAATTACTGTAAAATATCATATTCATATCAAATAAATCTTCATTACTCTCACATTTCTGTAAAATTAAAAACACTTACAAACACTCTTTATTTTTGTATGGAGGGGATATCAGGATTAGACTACAAACGTGCTTGTCTATTCCATTCTCATCTATCTCAGTTAAATTTAAAGTAGCATAGACGCTCTGATTCTACTTTGAATATTTAATATGAGTATGATAATTTTGAATTTTATTTTTTCAGTAGCATATATGAAGTTGGAGAGGAAAAGCCTTTATACTCAAACTGTTGTGTTTTGTTAAGTGTATATTCTCCCCAAAATCACTTATAGGGAAAAACATCTCACTCGTTTTGCGCTCGTTTCGGAGTGATTCTAGATATGACAGTAATCACTTCTATGGAGTAGCACTTCTTCATAGAATCACTTTAAAATCACTTAAAGTGATTATACGGAGAAACACATAAGCGATTCTGGCTCTCCCAAAATCATTCCAAAACGAGCTTATAATCACTTTAAAATCAATAAGCAATTTTATGGGAAGAAACACCTCTCATCATGTGCTTCTCTATAAAAACCACTTAAGTGAATATATGAAGAAGTGATTCTTGGCCTGATGGCTCGTTTGGGAGGGCTTTTGGAACAACGAAAAGAGCTTTTAAATGGGTGAAAGCACTTCTCTCTTTTAAAAATGGTGTTTGGCAAAAATTGCAAAAGCGTTTTGGGTGAGATCCAAAAGCACTTGGAGTGGTTTTGGAAAAAGCACTTGGAGTGGTTTTGGAAAAAGCACTTGAGAGGTGCTGCTTCTTAAAAGCGCTGCAGGAGAAAAACAAGGGAAGCACTTGGCTCCCTTTAATGAAACTTTTAAAATATAAAAAATATCCATATTTAAATTTGTAAAATGCCAAAATACCCTTCTCTCTCTTTCTCTCTCCTATTAAAATGCGAAGATGAATGATTCTCATGTTCTTCACTCTCAGTATAGGGTCTGGATATTCCACGATTTTCATTAGCATCTCAAATTCAACATCAGCAACTATATTCAATCCATCACAAAATCAAATAGGAACGAACCAAACACATAAGAACAAGCTTTTCCTTCTTCTTATTAATATTTTTGGTAGCAATTATTGGAGTTTGGCTTACTAGTGGCCGCTTCGTCTTCTTTGACTGAGAAGCCTTGTTTGGCCTAAGCGTGGACCGGAGTTTGGGATCTTGTGAATTTTTATTTTCTATGTTTATTATAATATTTTGAGATTCTTTAAATTTTTTAAAAGTACTTTTAAAAGTACTTTTAAAAGCGCTTTTACTATGTCATCCAAACACTCAACAAAACATCAAAAGCGCTTTTATGTAGTGTAAAAGCACTTTTAAATGTGACATCCAAAAGACACACTACTTCTTTGTAAAAGCGCTACTATTGGCATAAGCACTTTGGGAAGAAGCACTCCCAAACGAATCCTCACTCTCAAAAAAGTCATGTCGTGATTAATTTGCGTATCTATAAGTCAAATTTCTTCTCAAACGAGGGCAATTTTGGATGACTTGATTAATTTAACCAATCATGATGATCGAAACTTAGCACGACAACTCTCTTATTAAAAAACAAATAGTAAAGTTGTTCTCATTTTGCCGCTACAAAATTCTGATGGAGGATTTGATCATTTGACCCCAAAATATGAAGGGAAGATATACATCTGAAGTCGTTGACCGAGGGATAACACATGTAACATATGAGGTTAGGAAGTTAGGAGGATGTGAGGTCACAGTCGCAGCGCAGCCAAACAAGCGCCAACAAGCAAAATCTTTTTCTTCATCCTCATCATCATCCATTTTACATTACTCAACTTGAAATTCAAATTGCAGAAAAAATATTTGTTTTTTTTTTTTTTTAATAAAAGAAAAAGAAAGCGAAGCAAGAAACAGCAACAGCTATTATTGCGTTGCTCAATTTCCCCGAACCTTCCATGTGCTGAGACCCCGATTTCTCTCTGATTCTTTCTGATCTCAGTCTCATCAGAAGAAAGCAAATATTCCTTTTTAAAATCAAAAGAAAAACCCAGAAAAAGTAGACATGAAGGTTGCCCACTTTCTTAACCAATATTATTTTAATGCCTATCAATAATTTGAATTAGATCCACTGGTTCAATTCAGTTTATTTAAAGCAACTCCCGTCGCCACTGCAAGACTTGGGGCCACTCTTCTTCACCATGCTTCAGACACCTTCTTCTTTGAACACAGGTACGTACGATCGACATCTCTCAACTTCTTGTTGCTTCAATTGCTGCACCCTTGTTAATATCTCTTTCAAATTTGTAGCCGTTACTTTGCAAGTTTTGGAAATTAGGCTTTTTCTTTGATCGGTACCGGATTTTTACCAGATTAGATCTTCGACAATGTCGCTCTGATTTGGTTCAGGGTATTATATGAATTTGTGTAGTAGTTTTCTTGTTCTTGTTCCTGAATTTATTTTTATTATGACGATTTCAATTTCTATTTCTGCTCTTAACAAGCAAGTAATTGAATTGAAGCCCCTTGATTTGATAGGTTTTGTTTTGGTATTTTGGTCGGCTTGGTTGGTCGTCTGTGTAATTTTAGATGGTTGCTTTTTGTGGATGGATCCGTGTAGAAGCCACTTGGCTTTATCTGCCAAAATAGGAAACTTAACAGAGTAGGCCACTTTAAGTCGGTGATGAATGAGTCGTGTCCAACTCCGTTTCTTTGGTCTTTTATTTGTTTTGCAAGCCAATTACGAACTTTCTTGGACCCTTCCATATCCGCAGCCTTTCCTATCTGTATTTCTTTTTTAGTGTATATATATACGACTACCAGAATTGAATTCCAACTTTTCGTTTTCTGGGTTTTATTGTGACTGCCTTGTAGGTGCGGATTTAGACTGGTTTGGTTGATTTTGTGGCCTGCATTGTTGCGAAGGAAGGGAAAGAGGGTTTGCTTGGATTAAAGTTGAGGTTTTTTGTTTCTGTCTTTTTCGATTTTGTGGTTAATAGAGTTGAGTTAATGGGTGGGAGAAGTTCAAAGGAGGGGAGTTTTAGGCAGAATTCATCTTCTCGTTCTACTTCTTCATCGTGGAGCTATCCTCAAGTTCCATCGCCATATGTTCAATCACCATATGCTCAAGAAAGTCAAAGCTATCCAGCACCCCAGCAAGCCTATCCAGCACCATCACAGCCTTACTATCCCTCATCGCAGGATTATGGTGGTGGTGCTCGGGCAACTCGTCCTACCTTGGAGAGGAAATATTCAATAATTTTTTGTAGTTACAAATCCCTAGAGGAGGTAAGATTACTACGCTGTATCTTCTGCAAGCTTTCCTTTTTCTGGTTCAAGTTTCTTACCTATCTACCATGGTCAATTATGTTGACTCAACTGCAATCTTTGTAGGTGACTGAAGCTCTTGCACGTGCTGGTCTTGAGTCTTCCAATCTTATCGTCGGTATTGATTTCACAAAGAGCAATGAGTGGACAGGTTAACCCCTAATAAACTAATTTACTGTATATGGTATGTGTTGCAATGGAACGTGCTGTGCTGAAATTGGTTTTGTTAATAGGATCGAAGTCATTCAACAGAAAAAGCTTGCATCACATTGGGAATGTTCAAAATCCCTATGAGCATGCCATATCCATTATTGGAAAAACCTTGGCTGCTTTTGATGAGGATAACCTCATTCCCTGTTTCGGCTTTGGAGACGGTAATTGTTTAGTTGTATACTGTCATTTTGTTTCTCTAAGATCTTGTTCTTTGTAAGACGGGGATGACAAGCATTATTTTTTCGCTTTGCAGCGTCAACCCATGATCAAGATGTCTTTAGTTTCTACTATGATAGATATTGCAATGGATTTGAGGAAGTATTGACTCGCTACAGGGAAATTGTTCCTCAGCTACGGCTTGCAGGTTTTAGTTCACTTGCTAACTACTTATTTCTTGAAGTGGTCGCTATATCAGCTAATCAGTTGTCTTACATTGTTATTGATCGGTTTGGCAGGACCAACTTCATTTGCACCTGTGATTGAACAGGCCATGACTATTGTCGAGGAGAGTGGTGGCCAGTACCATGTCCTGTTGATAATTGCAGATGGCCAGGTATCTTGCCTTAATTTTGTTTTATTTAGTTGAGTATGCAACTAGAGGGTCGAGCATGCTGGCCATGCTTCAGATTTTCTGTGAAAATTGGAAAATGCGTGTGACTAATCCAACAGAAAACCATTGCACTACTTTGCTGTCATTATTGAAAATCTCAAATCCAGATAGAGTAAAATGCTTTTAAATTTGTCTAATATGAAACTTCTTTGCCTTTTTGGTTTTTTCTTTTGGCGGGAAAGTATCTGTTTGGTTTTAAGGTCTAGCACGGTTCAGACATGCTGGTCATGCAAAATAAATAGCATCCACTGAAGATCTCTTAGTGGTGCCTGCACTAGCTCCTAGGCTCAACTCTGTATGAAATTACATGTTGCTGGACACATCTATTCTTAAACGGGCTTTCTCATCCTTGCTCTGTTTTATGATGGCTTGGAAGTGGCAATGTTCTATTGTAATCTCAAGTTTTCTCAAGATATTATCTGACTTAATGTGAGATTTTCCTCAGGTAACTAGAAGTGTAGATACTGACCGTGGCAAGCTAAGTCCACAGGAGCAGAAGACAGTCGACGCCATTGTTGCAGCAAGGTGAGAGTGGTAATTTTTCCTTAATATTAGGTGCTTGTTTGGCCAACCATTTTTTATGTTGTACAATTTTTTTTCCTTTATCACAGCAAGTTCCCTCTATCAATTGTACTAGTTGGTGTTGGAGATGGGCCCTGGGACATGATGAAGGAATTTGATGACAATATTCCTGCTCGGGCATTTGATAATTTCCAAGTAAGTTGTTAGCATTATAATATGTTTTTGTTTATGTTACTCGTGATCATTTGTTTATGATTATTGGAGAATACTTAATTGGAAAACACATTTCTTTTGTTGTTTGTAGTTTGTGAATTTTACGGAAATTATGTCAAAGAACATGCCACCATCAAGAAAGGAGACCGAATTTGCTCTAGCAGCCTTGATGGAAATTCCTTCACAGTACAAAGCAACAATAGAGCTTAATATATTGGGGTAAGAATGTTCTCTGTATTTCTCATATCTGAAAGCTTTTGAATACCTCTGTTTACATAATTTATTTATATATATATATTTTCTTCTTCTTAAATGGGCAGTGGTAGGATCGGCGATTCTCCCCAGAGGGTTCCTCTCCCCCCACCATCTGTGTTACCAGCGTCATCTTTCAGCAGCTCAAAACCTTCCCGTTCGACAAGTTATAGTTCTCCATCTTTCAACAGCTCAAAACCTTCCCAATCTACCAGTTTTGAGCCAAGTGTTCCTCCTTATTATGAAGATAGCACTTCCGTTGGTACAGCTCCACCTGCTCCCAGTTCTACCTATGATAATCAGGTATGCGAGCGAACATATTTTTAAGTTGATGGTTTGTTTGTTTTTGTTCATCAAGTCAAAAGCCTGTGTGATACACATGTTGTCCCCATTTTCGTATGTGATTTTCATTTGGTATGTTTGAATTACCTTGGAATCCGACGGTTGATTGTCTGTGATCTATGACTTGGTTGAAGCTTTTTGCTCATTTATGGGTTTGCAACACTCTTGTGGGTTAACGTTTTATACGGTGTTGGACAGGTTTGCCCCATTTGCCTTACGAATCCAAAAGACATGGCCTTTGGGTGTGGGCATCAGGTACATTTGAATGATAATGTTTCTCAAATATTTTGGAGGTGAATTGGGACGATACCATTTTCTTAATTCATCTTTTTGGTGCAGACATGTTGCGAATGTGGACAGGACCTTCAATCGTGCCCAATATGCCGAAGCGCAATCCAGACGAGAATAAAACTCTATTAAGGACGACATGCTTTGCCCATATTAGATATTCATTGGTGTTGGCTGACATTCTTTTTATTTTTTGTTTTGGTTTCTTTTCCGATCAGTACATTCTTTCTTTGTAATTGAATGCTTAGTTGATCAGGATCTTAGGTTTGGCCGCATTCAATATATGATGATGTTCATAATCCAGATGCGAGGATGCTCTAGTGAGTGAGGCTTTTTGAAAAAAATATTATTTTTGTTTGAAAAGAGAAAATAAGAAAAGGAAATGAAATCTGTACATTTTGTAGTTGGGTTGTTGCTGGTCGTTTTCTTGTTCGAGTAAGGAGTAGATGGGTGGTCGTGGTCCATTTTTCCACTGCGATTGAATTGTTGTAGATGGTGGTCCACGACCCATGACCCACATGACCCGTGATTAGATTGTTGCTGCTTGCTTATAGCAGAAGCTTGGCAAAAGTCCATGGCATTGGGGTATGGCTTGCGGGAATACCTGAAAAAACTTGGTTATGGAATTAAAAGGTTTCACGTGTTTAGTGTTCAATCGGTGGATGTGGATTGAAACCTGAAAAAAGAGGAGGTGGTACGTCTCTTAACTTGTTAAAGCATGTGCTTCTTTCTGTGCTATGGCACTGGTTAGCCTATTGCTTGAAAATGGCTCATCTTGAGGCTTTCCGTGGCGCGTGCTTGTCATCAACTTCACCTGATGATGATCTGCTTTCTATGATACGTAAATAGACTTGACAAACGTTTCATTTTTTATTTTATTTATGTTGCGTCGTATTTATATGATGTGAAATTCTCATCCGACTTGTTAATGGTGCCTTATATTAATTTTTACAAAGGACCGAGTATTTACTCATTCAGGTAAAGTTTTGGGTTCGAGTCCTAGAATCCGTGTAGTGTGTTAGTATATTATTGACCCTCTTAATAGAAAAGGTTAAAAAAACAAAAACAAAAATCCTAACCTGTTAACTTATGGTAAATGTTATTTTTCCATCCTTTTATTTTACTGCTCATGAATCATGATCTATTTTCAATTGTTTATTTTGCTTGGATATTATAAGAAAGGAACAAGCAAAAGTAATTTGCAACGCACGTCTACCACCAGCAACAATCCTTACCCACTTTCTTTGTTTCATTTAATGCACTCGACATCTTCCCCCGAACCAACTATCCCTTCCCTCACATAATTATTAGCTCAGAAGACCAACTACTCATACTCAACAGACACCATTCTGCATTGGCATATCCAAACCAAATATTTCAAGTTCAACAACTAGCTCTCTCTCTCTCTCTCTCTCTCAACCCAAATATTGAAATGACGACCTCATCCTCCTCTGCCAAGCTCCCTGCATACCAAAGACTCAAGCATGATGATGATCAAGATGGGCTTGAACTTGATGATGATTTTGATTATGGAAGAGTGAAAGTGTTGGCGAGATCAAGGATTACTAGTTGGTGCAAGTTCAGATTCAGAAAGGTTCGTATTAGGAGGAGGAGATCATTCAAGCTCAAAGTTCCAAGCTTGAAGAGGCTCTTGTTCTTGAGGAGGAAAATTAGGTTGATCTCTGCTCTCAGAGCTTCATATGCTAAAGTGTTGCAGAGATTCAAGGAAGGGCAAGGCCACTTTGGTGATCTTTTTGCTGGCAACTACTTGTTCCTTCAAGTCAATCCCAGCTCGTTGAAGTGCCTTCACAAGGCTGTCTTGCCTCCAAGCTACACCCTCCCAATCCCAACAACAAATATTGCTTAATATGGATGCGGTTTCTGCAGAAAGAAATTTAAGAATTATATTTATGTTCTCTAATATTGGTCGGTTTTTTATTTTCTAGCTTTTTAGGTCACATATTGCTTGTTTTTCTGTGTGACAATGCATGTGAGAATTGTCTAAAGATGGGTTCTTGTCCTTTTCTTTGCTTACTCTCCTAGAAATTTAAAAGGAGGGAATTCGAACACATAACCTCCGGTGGCAATCATCATCTCTGTTCTCCTTCCTCTGAATAAGATTGCCTGTATATTTTTATTGCCAAAAACTGAATCTCAGAGAAATGGCTCTCACTATCCAACTACTCACTGATTCACATAAAAATAACACGGTTAAGTTAGTATGGTGCAATTCAGATTATTACACGAAATTTTTGATCGCACAAGTAATTATAAGACTGTTTAATGTCGGTAGGACAGAACAGAAGGGACATTGGCAATTGGAACTTAATCACAAGTTCACAACCAACTATAATGAAATCTAAATGAATGAAGATAAGCTTTAAATATGAAGGACAGAACAGGTGGGAGTTGTAGGTTATGGTAATTGCTATGTCTGGACGACCGCCAGGACCAATACAACCCTTTATGTAAATGACTTGGACTCGAGCATTCAATTCATCAACGTGATATTATATATATATATATATATATATAAAGCAAAAGTAGAGAATGGTAAAACATTTAAAATACTAAAAAATGTCCTTAATTAATGCAAACATTAAGAATTGAAATTATTAATCAAATGAGGAACACAACTACTCATTATCTTTATTTCTAAAATAAATTTTAAATTTAAAAAAAAAAAACTCTCACAGGCACAGAAGCACGTGTGGAGAGGTTAGTTTAGCATTATTTGATACTTTATTTAACATATGGGCATTATGAACAAACTTTACATACTTTAGTTCTTCAAGTGGTTAAGAGCAGTTATTCGTGCATCCAATGTCCTGTGTTCGAATTCCCCTTTCTTCAGTATCACTTGTGTAATAAAGGATATATTTATCTAATTGGGCTTCTCATGGCTCTGCTTGCTTTTTATTTTAAGCTCGGTGTTTGGGCTTCATGGCCCTCCTATAGCCCACGGAGCATCGAAACGGTGCGTTCCACCTTAAAGGCAGTGAATCAGGAAGGCAGAGTGGAAGGAAGGAAAGAAGGCAGCGAAAGGGAAGGGTTTGGGCCTTTGGGGTTTAGAAGGAGAGAAACTTTCACTCGCACAGAGACACAGCGAGTCAGCAACAGCGACACCATGAGGCTTCTCCAATCCATTACTGGTATTGCTACTGCTACACCCTTTTCCTCCATGGCTAGAAAGCTCTAATTTTTCATTTCGTTAGATTTTTTTAAAGGTTATTGCTAAATTACGGTGCAGGTCAGTGTAGGCCGGTGCTGCTGCGAGCGCTGGGTCGGCGATACTTGGCTGCGGCGTCAACAGAAGAATACGTGAAGAGAAACTACGCGAGCAACTTGTCGGAGTACAATACGGTCTTGAATTCTCTGAATGCTCAGAGAAGGCATTTCTTGCTGAGGGATGTGTATGATGATATGATGCTCGATGGGGTGCAGCCGGACCAGGACACCTTCAAATCCCTAATATTGGGCACCATGAAAGGCTCTAGCTTGCAGGACGCTTTCTATTTCGCTGATCAAATGAAAACCATGGGCTTGGCCCCTGATGTATGCCACTTTTTTTTTTCGTTTTTCAAGCTTAGAGAGTATCAACATTTTCATTTCATTTTATGGGGAAATGCAAGTATGGGTGTTTATTAGTTTGTGTTTTTTAACTATTCTTTTAAAATTATAGGTTAATTCATATAACATTTTGATCACATTGTGTGGGAAGTGCAAGCACTCTGACAAAGCTATTCAGGTGCGGTTTTTTACCTTCTATTTATAAATTATAAACCCCAGTCATATCATTTACTAGGGAATATTGGTATGCATGATGTATTTTATTTTTCCTTTCCTTTTAAAATCAAAGATTTTGGAAGATATGAAGAAGTTTGACGTGAAACCGAAGGTGCAAACTTACATGTGTCTACTCAATGCATGTGCAGCTACTGGCCATTTAGATCGAGTGTATGCTTCTTCTTTTATGCTCTGGTTTTTCCTTGTTCTTTTAATCCGTAAATCTTATCCTGATAACTATGTGTTTCATTATTACAATGGTGAATTTGACCTCATGCTATTAATCTGCATTGCACTGTTGTTACAGGTATGCAATTGTCCGTGACATGACCGCTGCTGGTCTTGGATTAAACAAGTTCTGCTATGCAGCACTTATAACCGCACTTAGGAACAAGACACCCTTACCAGATGATTTTGGCACCAAAGTAATTATCTAATCTTTCTTTTCCATGTGCTTTCAAGTAAGTTTTATTTTATTATTCTTAAGAGTTCTCTAATATTCCCCTTTTGCAATAAGATTATAGAGTTTGTTGAAAGGTCAAAAGAGTGGACATCGGTTGAAGAATCAAGTATGACTGCTGAAAATGTAATGATGGACATAACAGAAGAAGAGTTATATAATATGCCCACTGCTGAATATGCTCGTAGGCGTGGATTTTTGAATAGGCAACTAACCGTGTATCATGCTGCGCTTCATGCTTGTGCAGAACTCAGGAATGTAGAGGTAATATCTCACATCTCTATTTTTCCTCAGCTCAATACCACTAAAGAAACCAGTTTGTAGTTTGTACCCATCCTCCCTTTCTTTTCTTTTTTTTTGGGGGGGGGGGGGTTGTTATTGGGCACTGCCCATATCTATATGCCTGAACAGCTAGCACCAAAGTTCAGGGTGCTAGTAAGAGTCCCATGCTATTTCCCTTTGCCATAAAAGCTGAATTTATGTCCTTAGTACACGTATGGGCAACCCACTGATTTTTAATTCGTATCTTGGATTCTGTTAATTGTGCTAGGTGATGGAAGCTCTTTTGGAGATGCTAGAGAAAGATGGAAAAACTCCTGACCTCTTTATTGTGATGCAAAAGATGAGGTAAATAATTGTTGATTACAAACTTAAGTTTTTACTTAAACATTGTTCAAATGAGCTATGAATCTTCATATATGAATGCATGGTTAGATGTGAACTATTATTTGTATACATAGATTTTAAAAGCCTTTCAATCCAATTTGGATTGGAGTGCACTACGTATTTAAGTAAGAAGGCTTTATCTGAATCATTCCCTAATATGACCTCAATTCGTTCTCTTGTGTCCAAGTTGTGTTCACTGCTATCATTTATATTCAGGTGCTATCTACAGTCTGGGGACATTGACCGTGGTCTTAAGACGTTTGACGACTATATGAAGTCAGGAAATCTTCCCGCAGTAGAATTATATACGGTGAGTTCGAAAATAAACACAATATTTGTTTCATGAAACAGCAGTTTATTTCTTTATAATTAACGACTAGTAAGTGAGAAAATGTGCTTGGTTTTAGACAATCTGATTTCTAAAATATCACTGTATCGTTGATTAGCTAATAGGGAGATTCACTATTATACCCAATATGTTTTGTAGACGCTTGTGGAGGGAGCCATGATTGGGCATACACCCAAGGGAATGCAAATTGCCCAAGAAACATTGGTATGGTTGGGTGCTTGCAGCTCTTAATTTCTTAGTCAATTTTTTATATTTTAGATGAGGGCTGTGTACAACTCATTTTATGGTTTCATCCAACGCAGGTAAATATGACTTCCCGGAACTTTTATTTGAGCCCAAAAATGGGGAGTGATCTTCTCCTTGCAGCTGCTGGTGACGAGGTTTGCAAACAATTCCTCTTCTAACTTAAGAGTTCTTTAGGTTCTAAATGAATGGGATAGTTCTCTCTCTCTCCTGGTTCTCGATGCATTCTGAATTAGTTTGGACTGTTTTATTAGAAAAGTTTAATACTTTTTTGCAGACTGGAGGTTATGCTGTTGCCAACTATATATGGGACTTGATGCAAGCTCGTAATATAATTCCTCAATTTCCTGCTGTAGAAGCATATTACAAGGGCTTAAAAGTGAGTCTCTGCCTTATGACGCATTAGTAACAGTATCGTTCATCTCTGATTTACATTTTTTAGTTGATCAATTCAATGTTTTACCAATAGATACATCATACATGCAAATGCTTGTGAATCTAATCAAAGCTCTAGAGTCTTTTTATTTTTGTGGGTTTTGACAAATATTCCTTAATTTCTGTTTCCAAAATTGCAGAAACGTGAGATTCCCGGGGATGATCCACGACTGTTAGTGGTTACGCGGACTTACGATGATTTTCTCGCAAGAAGGGGACCCAGACGACCTTCCAGATAAATGATGACGAAAGTTACTCCAAGGAGTAGTTAGTTCTCATGGATTTTTATCGTTCAACTAGCATTATTGATGTTTTGGAGGAAAGAGTCATCGTTTAGAGCAAGTGTTCCTGGTATCAAAAGTCAGGATACCATAGGGTGGATTTCAGTGAGGCTTGGTTATGAACTCGGGCGTTTCAACAGTTTGCATGTTGTGGCTTCCCGCAGAAGTCTTGGAATGGGCTCAAGTTTTTTTTTATTTACCAGAAATGAAAAAATAACGAAGTTTAATTTATTTGTTTCTTTTTGTTTTGCATAAAACTTTTAATAAAATAGTTTAGGTTGAGCCTGGCCATGGCAGTGACGAACCAAGCTATGGCCTTTACTGTCATACTGATTTCAGGGCCTGTTCTGAACTCCGAGTTCTTTCAGTTTTAATTATTTCTCAAGTTAGGCTGAAAACTAGAAGTCACACATCCATCGGTAGTTGATGAAATTCCTTGATCACGAGTTGATGTTTGCACAAACAAATAGTAAACATTATTATTAGCTTTTACTTGTATTAAAAAGAAAAATAGGGTTATTATCAGCTCTTAAAATCTGATCAATTCACCAACAGGAGTTGGTCCAAGTGGAAGGGGCTTGGATTCTTTAAACAAGAGGTCCTGGGTTCGATCCCAGGCGCTTGCGAATAGAGCAAACTTTGTTGAGAGAGGTCCCCGCTTTGCGCCCGACAGTACCTCGAGAGCTAGTCCCCGCAATTGCGTGGGGGATACCTTGGTTTTCACCCAAAAAAAAAATCTGATCAATTCTCTTCTCAAACAAAAAAATTCTGATCAATACAAGTGGAAATCTAAAATGTTAAACTTTCTTTCTGCGTTACTGAATAAAGGGTTATTGCAAATGTGGGTATTGGCTTAAGCAATGTGTTAGCCTCTTTGTACTCGAGTTTGATCCCACACTCCATTACACTAGAATTGTGCTTATTTTAAAAAATAATAATAATAATAATAAAAACCTATCTGGCCCAAACCGGCATGAAAGCTCGAATCGCATTGCTTGGGGCCATTTGGTTTAAAAAATAGTAATATTAATAAAAACCTATCCGGCCCAAACCGGCATGAAAGCTCGAATCGCATTGTTTGGGACCAATGGGCCGTTGGAGTAATTAAATAAGAGAGAGGTAAAACGGTACGTCGGATGTTGGCAAAACTCGAAAGGAAGAAGAAGCCGTCCTACGAAGTAGGAAGATTGTGAGCCGCCTCAGAGACCGAGAGAGCAGAGCAAGAGCTTCACCGGCCTCAGTCGTTTCGCCGCTCTCTTTCTTCTGGTACTTTACATACCCTAAATCCATAATTAATAATGTAGCAAAAATATTTTACTAGCATTTTCTATATATGCTATAATTAATCTGAAAAATTACAGATTGATGCAGGCTTTAAATTTTGTTTTTGTGTTTGTTTTCGGTGTTTTAGGGTTTAAGCAGATATAGGTATCAGGGTGGGAAGGTGGGCATGGATATCACGAGAAAGAGTAAAAAGAAGAAATTGGTGAAGGAAGGCGGGAAGGATGAGAAGCGTGGGGTTTGCTACTTGGGTCGGATTCCTCCTCGCATGGATCCTTCAACACTTCGTCAGATGCTCTCTCAGTTTGGAGAGATACAAAGGGTTTATCTTACACCTCAAGACCCTTCTGCTCAAGTACATAACATCCGAGCTGGTAAATTTCAAAGGCAAAACTTTTCAGAAGGGTATGTCATAATCTCTTCATATTGATATGTAAAATGCAATTGGTATCTAGCTATTTGATTTCTCAATTTACTTCTATAGAGACCCATTACATTGTTATTACTGGCCTATGATAATTTGATTGTCCTTATCTGCACCTGCAGGTGGGTTGAATTTTCTGACAAAAGGGTTGCTAAGAGAGTTGCTAATATGTTAAATGGTGAACAGATAGGTAATTATATATAAATTGAAATCTTTGGCTTGAGTATTTTACTTCTTACAGCTTGCTTAGTATATGTGTGCGCTCTGCTTGTATTTCTTGTCTAAAAGTTTTGTACTGCCTGCCTGTTTCCTTCGTGTTTAGGTGGGAGGAAGAGGTCATCTTTCTACTACGATCTTTGGAATATCAAGTATTTAAGTAAATTCAAGTGGGATGATCTTACTGAAGAGATTGGTACAGACACTTAATGATTTGTTTTCCCTTGCTTATTGTCATGGAGCTTCATCATTGTTACACGTTACTGAATTGACAATGTTTACATTGCAGCTTACAAGAAAGCCACTCGGGAGCAAAAACTAGCTTTAGAAATATCTGCTGCTAAGAGGGAGCGGGATTTCTATCTCTCTAAAGTTGATAAGTCCCGTGCTTTGAGTTGCATAGAAGAAAGATTGAAAAAGGTATATTTTCAAATATTCTTTGAACACTGATTATTTGTACGTTTCTATTATATAAAAAAAAAGAGTGATCATTTGATGAAACAAGTAGGAGAGGAATATTTTTCAATGCAGCCATCCCATCACCATTTTCTCTTGTTCCAATTACTCCAAGTTTTTTCCTTCCTCTTTCGGGCTAGACTATATGAATTAGCTATTACTGTATAACTTCACGTTTTTATGTCATATTTCTCAAATGTAAAATAACGTTAGTTTGCATTAGTAGATGGAGTTATCTGCTTCTTCACTCTTCACTTACCCATTGAAGTCTGCAAATATGATCTATCACTGTGTATTGCTCAAATAATTCGTCTTCTAGGACTCCTTTTCATCAAAATGTTTAGCAAAATAAACAACTTTGAACTGGTTCCCTTTACACATAGCTAGGTAATTCCATATAATTTGTTTCATCTTCTTTAACAGAAGCAAAAGGTCGAAGAAGATCCAGGACTAAAGCCTGATCTCCCTGTTAGCCAGCCAAAACGGGAGGTAATTCGCCGGTTCCGACAGAAGACACCTGTTGCAGATAATGCTGCTGAAATCAGACCTCGGCTCTCGAAAGATATACTTGCAGGGGTGAGCATCGGTTGTTTAATATGCAACCATATATTTTTCCTTATCTGTCACTTAATACTTGCCTGTAACTCCATTTGCAGGTATTTGGTGGTTCTTAGTGCTCAACTTTTTAATGATTGGCATACTTAAAGTGGAGCTGCTGTAAACCAAGGACATCGTCTGGATCTCTGGAGTGCCTGCCTGTGTTTGAGATTTGAGTGGTCTTTCCCAATTTTGTCACTGATCTAGCTGGAACTAATCTGTATATGGTTTGAACCAGGATCACAAAATCACACAATATGAACCGTGTGAAAGATACTTGTATCTGTATTTATCTTATATGATGCTTTTCGTTTGAGTTAGATGGACAAATCATATAAAGGATCTTTTCATGGTTGATGTTCCTCACTGTCTTGAATCTCGATCTCCTTAGCATATAAAGGACCTTTTCATGGTTGATGTTCCTCGCCTCCCCGGCATGTTTACGAAAATCAGTCTTTTCCTCTGACCGTGATTTAATTTTGCCATGTCGTTTCAGCTTAGTTCCCTTGGTCATCCTTTGGTACTATGCGATTTACGATGAATATTATTTGTTTTTTTTAATTTGAAGCCGCAGGCTACTTCTTTGTTTTCTTTCAGTTGTGAATGTTGTACAAGAACAGAACAAATTCACTATCAACAAAACATGCCAGCCATCGCATTAGTGGAAATTAGACAGACAAATAAACAAAAAGAATAGCTACATAAACTGTTGAAAAATATTTCAGCATTGAAAAGAGACGAATCCCTGAAAGGAAAATCAAATCTATCCAAGAACTTTAGATTCTATACATTCAAATGTTTTCACTAAGTAACATGATTGTTGAAAGAGTATGTTCAAAGCACAGATGTTGGAGAATGAAGATAATTTGCACAAATGGATTGAATACAGAGCCTATTTCTGTTCTATTTAGCTGCAACATCCGCCTCTCTGAGCAACAGCTCCATTTGAGCCTGATGGACCTTGGGGTCGTCCATATCCAACCTTGATGCCAGATGACTGCAAACATCACTAAAATATTAGTTTCGAATTTTTTTTCCTCATTTGACAGATTACATTTCAGATTTCTCAGTGCAAAGAGACTCCAAAGTTTTCTGGACCAGCCAATATGCATGATATCCGTGTTAGGTAGAAGCTACATTGTCGCATTTTCTATGGTCAGATCATCCAGTATGTTAATTACCGGTAAGGAGATCACATAAAGCAAGCCGAGTATGCAATTAGTGAAAATTCATGCATGGTGTTTATAATGTTAATTTTTCACGCACTCTCTTCACCAATATGATATGTCAGAAAAGAAATGGGATTTAAAATCATGTCCCAACTCCTAAAGCTTACAATTTCCCTCAACAAAATGACTAAACAGTTACCTCATTAGACACATCAAACACGCCGTCCTGAATATTCTGAAGAATCTTTGCAGCAGTCTTTATGAAGGCCTGAAAAGTACGTTCATCAGTTTAGACATACTAAAATACATCATTCCGACCATAAATAACACATACAAAACAGTGAAATAGAGTCCTGGTTTGAATTGGTTGAGTTATATCACCTCCTCAACATTTTGAGCTGTTCTTGCAGATGCCTCCAAGAATAAAAGCCCATTCTCCTTTGCAAATTGCTCTCCTTCCTCTTTACTGACAGCCCTTCTATGAGCGAGGTCAGACTTGTTCCCTATGAGCATGATTGTCATGTTGGGATTTGCATGCTGCCGGGCATCCTCCAGCCAGCTTGCGAGATGATTAAATGTCTCTCTCCTGGAGAACAAAACAACTTTAATAACTTTTCCGTCTTTGGTTGAGGTAACATATAGAGAATTGTGGAAAAGTTGAAAACAGACATAGGCATCGGTAGGGCTCCAGTTAGGCAAACGCACACGAACGCTGACACACTATTATGCAAACACACAATTCAAAGCCACCCACCTGGTTATGTCATAAACCAGAAGTGCTCCAGCTGCTCCTCTGTAGTAAGATCTAGTGATGGATCTGAAAGATTCTTGCCCAGCCTGAAATAAAACCAAGGAACCTTGCTTAAGAATATTCACTGGACCACTAAATTACAGCAATAAATGTTGTAACATTACTAGAATTAAGATATATTAAGACCATCTGCTTGATTATGTCCCAGGAAATATCTCAGCAGTTGCCCTCAAAACAAAATAATGCGCAAAAGAAAAGTAAAGCCCAATAGCATAGAGGTAGAATCATGAAGTAGTTGTGAGTTTACAATGCAAAATGGGATTTTATTCAAAATTACAACACCAAATAGGACATATCAGAATCTCACTTCACCAATTTACTAGTATCAAGTCCTAAACTCTAAAGTTTAGATAGGTTCTTTTGTTAAATTTACAGGCACATCCAATTAGATTAACAGAAAGCAATAATATGAAATCTTGAAACCAAATAACATGACCAAACAGAGCAGAAGAAAGAAAGGAAATTTAAATTACGGTGTCCCAAATCTGGAGCTTGACAGGACGACCGTCGATGGTGACCATTCGAGCGCCGAACTCGACGCCAATGGTGAGATCATGCACAGGCTGGAACCTCTTGTCCGTGAATTGCAAGAGCAAGCATGATTTTCCTACACCTGCACCGTCCCACACCAAAACCCAATTGGTTTCATTACTCAATTCTCAATTTACAATTCTCAAAAATGAAAAATAAAATCAGAAAGCTAGGGATTTCAATAATTGGAACCTGTGTCGCCGATGATGATGTACTTGAAGAGATAGTCGTAAGACATGGTTAGTACGCTGTCGTATCGAGGAAGAAGGAGGAAGAAGATGATTCTCCTCGCTGTCTTTCTCTCTCTCTCTCTCGCTCTAAACTTTCTCTTTTTGGTTAGCTTTGCTTTGCTGGTTTTAGTTTGTTTTACGTACGGACTATATTTCTGACTTTGCCCGCCTAATATTAATTTCTGGTGTCTCTTATATATAATTAATTAATTAATTAACTCAAACTTAATTGATGCTGTGACGTTTATATCACCGACACGCCAGTGTTTGCTTTGCTTCATGAGATGACAATGATGATTCAGGAGAGGATATGCTTCCTACAACTAGTTTACAATACATACGTAAACTTCTTTTACTTTATTTATTCATTATCATTACTTTCTGTTTTGGGCTTGTTATTGTTGTTTATCAACAATTCTATTCATAAGTAAACCCTCTTATCATTGGAATCAAAGATTTTAACGATATATAATCTTCATTCATTATCATTACTTTCTGTTTTGGGCTTCTTATTGTTGTTTATCAACAATTCTATTCATAAGTAAACCCTCTTATCATTGGAATCAAAGATTTTAACGATATATAATCTTCTTGAGTTACTAAATTTTTAATTTTGTTTAATACCTCAAATATTAAATTCAGAGAAATTATAATGTGATACGGTATTTCTCCTCGTTCCGCAGCCCCCATATGAGCCATATTTAGCGTCAAGACTGAAAAAATAAAGGATAAATATCTTCCTTTTAATTGAAGGCTAGAGGCTCAGGGGGAGACGTATGAAATTGGTTACATGAATGAAAAGAATGGAAACATATTCCGTTTATCAAGCCGTTTCCTTAACAAGCGAATTTTGCTTGAAATTCACAAACCAAAGAAAAACTCCTTCAAATTTAAATCAATCGAGGTAGGCCTTTAACCCTCAACATTATCCAATCAAACCTACAAAGCAGAAAATACCTCACAAAACAAGCACGGAACATACAATATCTGTAATATAATCAACCAGCTTAAAAGTCTGTAAGATGCTCTAATAATTCTTAATGAATTCCCAACAAACAAAATAGTTAGCGCAAAGTCTGTATAAAAATGTCAAATCCAAATGGAATAAGCAAACCCATAACAAGTTGGGATCAAGTCGCTGAGGTTTTACACTGAAAACTGAATACATGGAACATTCCCATGCTCCCTCCCAGTGGAGTGGAGCGATTTCACTCTTCCATTGCATCGCCTGCTTCTATCACTTCCACCTTCTCGGTCAATGGAATGATCTTCGTTAAGAGAACCTCTGCAACCAAAGAAAACACTACAAGTTCAGAAAAAGTTTCACTAACTCCATTTGTAGTTTCACTCTTTTCTTTTTCTAAGTTAGGTCCTAGAGTTGGATGAATCTTTGATTAAACCTTTCCACAGGGAAGATACAGAAAGAAGAAAGAAAAAAAAGACACACTACGGATGTGAACAAATTATGCGACATAGCAGCTGCACAACAAACACTTACCAATACACCGCCTATGGTGGCATGAATCTTCTCATATATGACAGACAACATAAAATGATGCTAGGTTTATGATATGCAAAACAAGTACGGCATAAGAGTGATCAGGCAATCTGTGGTTGAATGATACAAAAGCAAAGTAAAAGAGGTGTGTTCCTAACCAGTTTTCTTGGAGAATGTATAGTCTTTCGCACTGACATAAGTACGAGGTGTGGGCGACAAGTGGTTCCTCAGGTATTCCTTGTGTCCCTGAGCCAATACAAATTTACAAAAGAATTTGCATTAACATGAAAATAGTATTCTAGAAAATGGTGAATACTAATGACAAACAACAAACCTTAGTTATTACACAAACATCAACCTTGAGTTACTAAATTTTTAATTTTGTTTAATACCTCAAATATTAAATTCAGAGAAATTATAATGTGATACGGTATTTCTCCTCGTTCCGCAGCCCCCATATGAGCCATATTTAGCGTCAAGACTGAAAAAATAAAGGATAAATATCTTCCTTTTAATTGAAGGCTAGAGGCTCAGGGGGAGACGTATGAAATTGGTTACATGAATGAAAAGAATGGAAACATATTCCGTTTATCAAGCCGTTTCCTTAACAAGCGAATTTTGCTTGAAATTCACAAACCAAAGAAAAACTCCTTCAAATTTAAATCAATCGAGGTAGGCCTTTAACCCTCAACATTATCCAATCAAACCTACAAAGCAGAAAATACCTCACAAAACAAGCACGGAACATACAATATCTGTAATATAATCAACCAGCTTAAAAGTCTGTAAGATGCTCTAATAATTCTTAATGAATTCCCAACAAACAAAATAGTTAGCGCAAAGTCTGTATAAAAATGTCAAATCCAAATGGAATAAGCAAACCCATAACAAGTTGGGATCAAGTCGCTGAGGTTTTACACTGAAAACTGAATACATGGAACATTCCCATGCTCCCTCCCAGTGGAGTGGAGCGATTTCACTCTTCCATTGCATCGCCTGCTTCTATCACTTCCACCTTCTCGGTCAATGGAATGATCTTCGTTAAGAGAACCTCTGCAACCAAAGAAAACACTACAAGTTCAGAAAAAGTTTCACTAACTCCATTTGTAGTTTCACTCTTTTCTTTTTCTAAGTTAGGTCCTAGAGTTGGATGAATCTTTGATTAAACCTTTCCACAGGGAAGATACAGAAAGAAGAAAGAAAAAAAAGACACACTACGGATGTGAACAAATTATGCGACATAGCAGCTGCACAACAAACACTTACCAATACACCGCCTATGGTGGCATGAATCTTCTCATATATGACAGACAACATAAAATGATGCTAGGTTTATGATATGCAAAACAAGTACGGCATAAGAGTGATCAGGCAATCTGTGGTTGAATGATACAAAAGCAAAGTAAAAGAGGTGTGTTCCTAACCAGTTTTCTTGGAGAATGTATAGTCTTTCGCACTGACATAAGTACGAGGTGTGGGCGACAAGTGGTTCCTCAGGTATTCCTTGTGTCCCTGAGCCAATACAAATTTACAAAAGAATTTGCATTAACATGAAAATAGTATTCTAGAAAATGGTGAATACTAATGACAAACAACAAACCTTAGTTATTACACAAACATCAACGTTGCTTCCACTTCCCAAGTCATTAAAAATGCCAGAGCATATTGCTTCGGTTACGAGCTTTATGCCTTCATCCCTCTGCATCAAAGTAACAAAACCAAATTTAAGAGGCCCTAAACCTAAATATATGAACCAGATATCCACTGTGGATGTTACTACTAATCATGTCATAGAATACTAATGAGATGCAAACAGTAATTTGGGTTGTCCATTATTTGTAACCACAGATTCATAGTACCATACAACAAAGGGGATGCTTTTCAATTCATATGACGCTAACTTACAGTGAGGCCTTCTTTGTACTTAGACTCAAATATGGCCATCGCAGCAAGAGAACCAGAGCCCATCGTAGCAAATGGCAGTGTGTCAGTTGATCCATGGGGATATATCTGCGATATAAAGCATTGGTGTTGGCATCAGATCATGCAATCTCCAAAAAAAAATCCATATCACATCCAAAAATCTTACAGTATGTAGATGGGGTCCAGTGACATCAACCCCCCCGAGCACCAAAGCAGCCGACACATGACCTTGGTAACTGGACAATATATGTGGCAGTTAGAATCAAAATGTGTATAAATGCATACAGCTTACTCCTGCAATTTAAAGTCCCCTCCCTCCACCCTCTTTCCCTTTTTCAAAGCTAATAATTGCAGAGCAGTCCTGGAAAGTGATAAAACTGTACCTGAAAAGGTGTTTCTTGAGCAAGGTCAAGGCTGTAACAACCCGTGATTCACGACCAGTATGGTACCGATGCAGTTGCAGCTGTGAGCTGACCATGTCTAGAAATCCAAAGAAAGCAAGAGCAACCGATTAGGTATGATGGTCTATGGCACGAAAATTATTTAGCACCCTTCACCTGCTTGTTCATGAACTTCATGCGATACTTAACAGACATATACAAACATTAACACACTAACAACAATCCTAACATTTACCTGTAACAGCCTCCGTATCAGCAGCAGTTCCAGCCCCACAGCAATAAATATTGGGTGCCATATAATGGATCTTTTCACAATTCTTATCACAAACAATGGGTCCTTCCGTGGCCCTGGTATCAGCTCCAAGAATGACACCATCCTGAAGAAGGAATTAGAAAGGAAAATTACAAAATTTAAAGCTTAACCTTTTTCTTTTTTTCGAAAATAGAATAAATTTGGGTGGAAAAACAATTGCCAATTAAATATTAGAAAGCAGTTGTACCTGAAAAATCAAACCGACGATGGTGGTTCCCGTCTTCCTATAAGATGGTTGCTGAACCCCCTTCTTTGCAAGCATGTCGTTTCTACGACAAAGATCAAAACTAAATCCACCCTTGGGAACATCTATCGCCGCCTGAGACATCTTTTTTTCTTTAAGTTTGAAGTTAAACCTGCAAAACCATTTAACACATAGAAGTTTAATAGAGAAATGTTCAAATGTTCCAAACCCTAAAGCTAGTCAAAAACTATTTTATGGAAAAAAGTCAGACTGAAATACAATGCATGCAAATTGCTTTGTCTGCAATGGAAAAATGAACAAAAACTATGGAGAATGTATGAACACGGATTGGAAAAGAGCACCAGCAGATTACTTGCCTAAGTTAATATATCTAATTTGGAACCATGACAGGGAGAGATCAAGAATATTGAGACAGGAAGATGCAAATTAAGACAGAAAATAGCAGCAAAAAGTGACTGAAAGATATCTAATACAATGGTTGGACTCTAGAACACGGCAATAAAAATAATGCAAAACATAACTGATTCAACAAAATCTCATGCATTAAGTACAGACAGATGTCCCATGACCCCGTTTTGTAAACTATTGACAACCAAATTTATGTAACAAAAGGAGCAGCACACAAAAATGACCAACAACTCATAAGAGTACAAAACCCAAAATTTTCAGAATCGTATCCTATGGCTAACCCAAAATAAGAATCAAACCAAAAATATTCCACTTCATCTATACGATTTATAAACAAACTAAAACAAAATAGTTACTCTTACGCATTTAATCAAACAAATTGCGTGCAAAATCACAAGTACAATAATTTTTTTTGAAGAAACCTCCCGTTCAAGCAACATTCCAGTACCAAAGAAGACCTCGCAGAATCAGATCTTCTTCATTTCATACTATAACGCAAGCTAAATAACACAGGAAATTTAAAATAGCTCTAATTGATATTTAGAAGAAAAATGGGGAAAAGACCTCTAATTAGCTAAATTTGAAATTTTGCTTACTGGTAGGCGTTGGGATGCCGAAAGGTTGATCGGCGGAGAAGCAAATCCGATTGGAAGGAAGAGATGGGTGGTGGAGTTCCACAGGGTTTATGTGGGAGACTGAGACTGTCAAACGAAACGAAACGAAACGAAAATAAAGGAAAGTGAGAAGGTGAGGGGAATAGAGAAGACGAACCTGAAAAACTTGTCCGACAAGTAGTGGTACAGTCTGGGCCTTTCGTCCTGATGTGGCCCAACCGAGCCCAGTAAGCCCATAATATTGAACGACACAAAACCGACCTTAACAAATACAATGTCGTTTTCCCATCTCTAATTAGCTACATAACATGCACTTTTTGGTTTTAAAATTTTAATCTTAATTTTATTTAGTAAGGGGCACTCCTCTTACTAAAATTAAGAATCATTTTCACCGTTCGTTTATGATTAATTAGAAAAATACAATGAATTTGTAGTTCGAATGGTTAAGAGTATTTTACCCATGCAAAGGGAGTGTTCGAATCCTCCTTCTCAAATATCGTTTATGTTTATAATAAAAAAAATAACTAATTTAAAAATTATAAGGATATCACTTATTTAAAAATAATAATAATATAAGGGATTGTCGAAAGAAACGTATCCCCTCTAGGCCTAAAATGGCTCCGCCACATGACTACGGGATTCTTCCCCATTTTACATAATCAAATTCGGGGTTTTAAACTCACTTCACTATTCACTTGTAAAAATGTGAACCACATAATCCATGTGACTAAACAACACAACATTTTTTACCCTATCTATATAGTCAAAGAAGAATAAATTAAACCAAGGTGATTGGTGTGAGTGGTTCGGCACTCTCATTCCTTAAGAGAGGTCAGGGGTTCGATCCCTGCTCTCGTACGGAGTCACCACTTTAGCCAACATTTTACCCCTTACGGGCCGACCCGATGTGAGTGGGGATTAGTCTGGGTTGTGGTTAAGGCTTAAAGGTGCCACCCATAATTGGGCCCATCCAGGACCAACTCATGGTTCAGACAAAAAAAAAAAAGAAAAAAAAAAAGAATAAATTAGAGGTGGGTTTTGGCTATAAAAATAAAAAAATAAAAAACAATAACTATTCATGTGGACGGGAATTAAGAAATAAAATGTAAAGGTTAAGTGGAAAATTGCTTTGACTTGTAAACTAGTTGTTTTAAGTTTGAACTTCCATGACACTTTGATAGTGTGTGTGAGAAATCCCCTTCCCTCTTATAGTTTAAAGGGCTTCTTAGATCTAGGTTAGGTCCAAAACGATTAGTTGTCATTGGATTTAGTCCACGAGTTTTATGTAGGTCATTTGACATTTATTACTTCTATTATTGTGTCGATTTTACAGGTAAATAAGGAAACTAGTAATTATATTATAAAAAAATGTAGAGAAGATATACAAAACTAGATTTCTTATTGAATAATATGAAATGCAATTACATAAAAAAGAAGGGATCAATCATGTAATCGCAACCTTGTTTGTATTAGACTTTAAGCTATTATTGCCTGCCTGCCTGCCTTTGGTTTGGTGGATGGAACATATTTTACAAGTATTGCATTGACCTTTTTTGTTCTTTCCTTGTACATTCAGATGAATCCATTAAAGAGAAAGATCATTTGCAATTGGGGTTACTTTGTAGTTTCAGGCAGCTGCTGCATCAGCTGGCTCAATCTCTAATTGCAAGCCTCTCCGGAATTGCACGAAAGGGTAAGCAAGTGGAGACTCATCTGGTTTTGTTTTCCATCTGGTGCAGCAAGTGCATGCAGCAGAAATTAATAATTATAATCAAACATTAGACAACATGATCATGGAAATTAAATTAAAAGTTACCTATAACTGAGGACAAGATGATGAAGGAAGAATGCAATCACTACTTTAGCCAGTTCTGCTCCAGGACAGAGCCTCACTCCCCCACCAAACACTGTCACTTTTTTGCTCATTTCTTTGTAATCTTCCTGCATATATAAACAAATAATTAAATAAATAAATCTCAAACATTTGTCACCATTGATATTCAAAAAATTAAAATCAGAAGCTACATACTGCCCATNNNNGTCGTGAACAGCTTGATCCAAATGCGCCCCAGAAAAGATTGGAAGAACCTTCCATCCTGATGGGATGACCAACTCTGCACCAACAATAATCCAATAGTTCATAAACATCTTAATCATTATGTCATGTAATTAATTAAGCAATAGAAAGACAAAATAATTAACCTTTAAATTTCACGTCGACAAGAGCTTTCCTGTGCACAAATTTGACTACATTCCCACATCTCATAGCTTCATATATAACCTGCAGATTTTTTCAGTCCTTCATTGTTCCATATAATATATATATATATATACAGTATAATTAACCAGCAGAACAGAACATCTAACTTTGAAAGAAAATTATTACATAGTGGGAAAAATCCATTTTCTTGTAATCTTCCCAGTTCAAGAATTCCCCATCTTTTTTGTTTTGCCTTATGCTCTGGTGTTCTTCCTGCAGAGATTTTGGACAAGATACGTGTGTATATATTAGGCATATGCACTGATTTATGCATGTAGAGAGAGAGAGAGAGTGAGAGAGAGAGAGCAGCTGAGGGGGACAGGGGTTTGGTTTACCTTTAACTTGTCGAAAGCAATAGGCGCATGGGCAAGAAAGTAGACAATCAAGGACATAAGAGTAGCGGTTGTCTCGTAGCCTCCCAGCATTATGTCCAACACAATGCTCACAATTTCTTCATCGTTTAGGCTCTGCTTTGATAATATCACATCCAAGAAGTCTTCTGTGTTTCTATTAACATTCCCTTTTCGTCTTTCTTCCATAATCTCTTTGACAGTGGAAGACAGCCTTGCTCTAGCCTGAAGAAAAAAGGTCATTATAATGTTTATATGGAGAGGAGAGGCATGCGATGCTTATGTTGTCAGATTGAGAATTTAAATGGTTAATTGCTTTAACTTTAGTGTGACAAATGAATATTATTGCCGCATATGCATAATATGTTGTAGGTAGGTGCTGTAATTACCTTCACAGCCTTGGCATAAGCGGTCCCAGGGATATTTACTGGTAGAGAAACAAAGCCTGTCATGTAGGTTTCGAAGTCTTGCAATATCCTTGAGGCTACTGGCTCCTCTGGTTTAACACTTAGAAGGTGCTTCACCATAAGACTCAGTGTAAACTGTGTGTTTGAATTGAATCACAAAATGCAGGCAGGCAGAGTCAGGCATTATCAAACTTCTAATATAATTGAAGCAGGTTAAGAAGAAGATTAAGGCTGAGTTGTACATACAGCTTTAGCTTGTTTGTAGAAGGAGACTTGTTTGCAGCCATTCCATGAATCCATCATTGAGATTGAGAGCTTCTGAACCCAGTGAAGGAAATCGGGGGCCGACTTAGAGTTGGCAATGAAGCTGACAGCAATGCTTCTAAGCTTTCTATGAAGCTCTCCGGACACAGTGAGTAACGAATGCTTTCCAAGAATGCCATGGATGGCCTTGGGATAGCTGGCTTGGAATAGCTTCTCTTCATTCTGAAGAATAAACATGTTGAGCTCAAGGTCACATGAAACTATGGTTGGTGAACCAAATAGATGCGATTTAAAAACCTTCCCATATCTGCATAAATGACCAAAGTAAACCATATAAAAAAACTATTATCAATAAACTTTGTAAATTAATGAAGAATAATGATCACCTAGAGCAATGCTGTTGCAAGAAGCTTCCCACAGAGTAAGTATAATGAGGCTTAAGGAAGTCAAGGGTTTCTCCAAACCAAGGCCACCCCATGCTTCCAGGAGGCAAGTTTTTAGCAGGATTTTGATGATCATGTGTTGCAGAGAACTTTTGCACAAGAATACAAGCCAACAATATGGGTAGCCCTCCTAGCAGGAGAGCAAATAAAATAGGTGCTAAACCAACCATGATGTTTGATTTGTTCTCTTTTTCTAAACAAAAGTATTTGACTTGTGACTCTACCCCCTTACACCTTACACATATATAGGACCTTTCATTCCAGTCAGGTTCTTTGTCTTACATTTTATATGCAAATTATTTAATGACCAAATCCAATAGTATCTGTCTTTCAGTTTCAGATTCTGCTCGTTTTCTTCTAATTAAGCCCGCGCATAGGATTTGGACCCCCTTTTTTAAAAAAAATTCTTTGTATTAGAAGCTTCCCTTTACTAGATTGGACATTGGAGTAGTTTTTCCTTTGCTGAGATGAGAACCAATTGCTTGACTATGATAAATGTTAAGGAACAATTCTTCTTCTCCATGCATGGTTATAAGTGTATGTGATCGATCACTTCCACACCATCAATTAACTGTTATGAATTGGTAACATATCAACAACACTAAGTGCTAGATTTCTATAAATTTAATGCTCATAGGAGGCAAGAAATTGGTTTTCTTGATTTGGTTTGCCCCTTTCTAAAAGGGGCTTTCCTAATCGATAGAACCGAACCAAATAGTCTCCCGAAAAAAAAAGAAAAAAGAGAGGTTTGGTGGTGGTGCTTGCTTGCTTACTAATCATGACAGTTGTCTTCTAAAATGTGAATTAACAAGATAGATAATATAATATATAACTGCTTTTCACATGTCAAACATTCCTCAACCTAAATAATCATGCTCTCCCTCCCTACAAAACAAACTCCAAAACTCTTCCCTCTTTGTCTTTGAAGAATTTCCATGTATCTTTACTTACTTGAGCTTGCTACAAACAAACTATAATGAAAGGCTTGAAGAGTATAAAAAATGGGTATAGGTTCCCTAAAGGAAAAACAATGAGAGACACACTAAGTTGAAAATTTGACCATTTCGAAAGCTATATGCATATATATGTATATGTAGACAACAAAAGCTTGCAATTTTTGAATAAGTTGGGTTTGCTTTATGGGTTTGATATGGATGTTTGGAGTAGAAAGCCGACCAAATTTGTGACTATCTGCCTTTTGAAATCATACCCATTTTAACAAGACCTAAAAAATTATACTTATTTTTCGGCTTTAGGTGGGTTTTAGGAGAAGAAAAAGCGGTACGGACCCTCACACAAAGGAACTAAAGGGAGGCAAAGAGCAAGCAGTTTGTCTGGCTTTTAGAGTGTGCATGGTGCACGTGCAATGGATTTGTGACCCCCTAATCAATTGGATGGTTGGCAATGGCATCTAGAAACCCTAATTAATAGCTGGATATCAGTTAGCATTGCAATCATGGCTAATTACTTTACTGTTGTTGTCTTAGTTACAGTGATCAGGAAAGGGGAAAATGAATTTAAGATGTTTGCGAATGGCAATGAGCTTGTAGCTCAAGTAATTAAAAACATTTATACATGCATCCAATGTTTTAAGTTCGATTCTCTCCTCCTTTTGGTATTACTTGTGCAAAAACAACAATCTTCCGAATGAAGTTGACATATTATTTGTTTTGTGTCTAATCTTTCAGGGCACCCTTTCGGAAAGATGAAATTTCTTGATGTAGTAATTATATTAACAAACCTCATTGCACGTTTGAGGATTTGAGCAGACAACTCATTATTATTCTTGTCTTTTTATTTGGGGCCTGCTAAATATGAACAAAATCATTATTTCTTTTTAATTAAAAAAACAAAGAAGAGACATTGGTAGGTAGGGCTTTTCCACTCCATTATCACCAGGGAAAAAAATTGAAGGAAAAGTATTAACAGATAATGAAACAAATAAAATAAAGAATTGGGCTTTCTCACATATACTTAGTCCATAGGAAGAAGAACAGACACGACCCAATAGAAGACAGATCAAGGGACGATGAACAAGTTGCCTCATCAACAGAGATTCATGGCCCAAATTGGGAATTACCACCACATATGCACACATGAATGTCTGGTTTTGGCACATAGCAAGTCCCATATGTTAAAATCTTCATAAATTCAAAGACATGGCCACAAACAACTCATCCAAATCTCAAGCCATGGCATCCATTTCTCACAAATTTACAAGCAACCCACAGACCTCCCTCTCTCTTCAGTTCAAGACCAAAGCTCTGCCACTCCCATCATCAAGAATTTTATGCACTTCAAGTGAAAACAATGAAACCAAGCAATCTCTGTCCTCAGCAGGAAAAATCAAACGTCTTGTTCTTCCCCAAGAGGGCAGAACAAAACTCAACACTTACCCGGACAGAGATTTCTATGCTTATCCACGCTTTGTGACCCATGTTGATGATGGCTTCATTTCCACATTAACCAATCTCTACAGACAAAAGTTGAGGCCTAACTCAGAGATTCTTGATCTTATGAGTTCCTGGGTCAGCCATTTACCAGAAGAGGTTAAGTACAAAAAAGTGGTTGGGCATGGGCTCAATGCACAAGAACTTGCGAAGAACCCAAGGCTGGACTATTTCTTTGTCAAGGATCTGAACCAGGATCAGAAGCTGGAGTTGGAGAGCTCCAGTTTTGATGCGGTTTTGTGCACAGTCAGTGTGCAGTATCTTCAACAGCCTGAGAAGGTTAGATGGTACTGTTAATTTAGGGCATGTTTGAGTGTGTTTCTGCAAGGGCTAAAAGCGCTTTCTAACAGATAAAGGTCCGTCTGACAGTGTTTAAGTGCCTTTGGGCCATAAAAGCACTTCGGGAGAAGTACATGTTAGTACTTCTTCGAAACACTTGGGATTTATTATGAAAATTTCAAAGTTAATATAATAAAAACGCTTTTGTTATAAGCGCTTATTAGCATAAGTAACCCAAAAAAGGAGCCTCAAACAAGCCCTTACCTTTGTTACATTAATCAAAACCTTTATTTAATTTGTAAATAAATTACCCAATTGAGTGGACATTGTGATGCAGGTGTTTGCAGAGGTGTTTAGGGTTCTAAGGCCAGGAGGAGTGTTTATTGTGAGCTTTAGCAATCGATTGTTCTATGAGAAAGCCATAGGCGCATGGAGAGATGGGAGTGCATACAGCAGAACACAATTGGTTGTGCAATACTTTCAATCTGTGGAAGGGTTCACGCAAGCTGAAATAATTAAGAAATTACCAGACCCTAATGGTGGTGGTGGTGGTGGTGCTCCACAAAATAAATCACCATTCAGTTGGGTCATGGGTTTGCTCGGATTGCTATCCGGGTCGGATCCCTTTTATGCAGTGATAGCTTACAAGAATTTCAAGCCTGTATATGAATGAATAATAGCTTACCAGAACTTCAAACTCTTACTCTGTTCCCCAATGAAGCATGCAGTATGCAGACGTTGGACTCTGTTTGTCCTTTCAATTCTTGTAATTGTGAGGGTTTCTATTCCCTGTCTGTCAGGCTATGATGTTAGAAATACAAAAATGAACACCACCACTGGCAGAGTGCTCTCAAATCCTTCACCAAGTAGAAAAGTAAGATTTGAAAATGGAGCAGAGAAGGTTGTCAAGTTGAATGTATTTTTGAGCTGAAATTATACTAATACAAACTCATTTTGCAGTCCCATTAAAAATTGGTAATTTGTGATTGGTGATTATGGTATACATGAAACTGCAAGCTTGGATTTTAATAAGGAATGGACTAGATAATGCCTTAAACCTGCCAGCCACGGCCACATCACAATTTCATTCATGGTGGCAGCTTGCCAGGGGGGAGGTTACCGAAAAATGGGTTACAAAAAGGTTTTGAGTTGGTACATGCGGTTAGGACAGCTGGTCAAGACAGTCGTTCCCTTACATTGCATTCGCTTGTGTAAAATAAAATTTAAAATTTAAAAAGAGTTGAGTCCAATTTTGTTTGGGTGGTAAATTTTAGAAAGGTAGCTTTGGGTCACAATGTTTGCTATGACTCTGGGTATATCCAGCTTCTCTACTTACATATTTTGGGCCTTTTGGCCTTTGGGTGCGTTTCTGATATTTACCTACCGCTACCGAATTTCGTCCAAAAAAAAAACCTACCGCTACCGAAACGTTTCGTTTGCAGCTTTGTTTTCCTCAAACAAATAAAAAATATCTTCACCTGCAAACCTTTGGACCATCCTGCGCTAATGTAACCAGAACAAACCCTTCTCTCATTCCTTATCCTCTCTCCACCTCTCTATATCTCTCTCTTCCCCTCCTCTCTCTACCTCCCTCCAACCATGTCTTCTGCAACCGCCGCTTTTTTGAAGCCAATATCAATAGCCGAAAGTTGTCTACCTTCTGTGCCAGCCCTCTTCGCCCCCAAAAACCAATACCCAATTCTTTCACTTCCCTCAAAACCCACCAAGCTCTCAGCCGTCTCATGCTCATTTACGCCTTCTCTCCCTTCATGGGTCTCTCTGAAGCACAAGTCTTTACCTATGCATGTGGCTCAGACCTCGGACTGGGCTCAAGAAGAAGTAAAAGAAGAGGGTTCGGGTTTTGAGAGTGAAGGGGTCGAGGAAACAGAGGAGGGGGTAGAGGCAAGTGCTTTATCTGATGGGGAAGAGAGTTCTGGAGACGGAGTTTTAGCGGTTGGTGAAGAAGAATACTATCCCGAACCACCCGAAGAGGCCAAGCTCTATGTGGGTAATTTGCCTTACGATGTTGATAGTGAGAAACTTGCTCATATCTTCAACGAGGCTGGTGTTGTTGAGATTGCTGAGGTAAATTTAGTGTCTTTGATGCTCTGTGTATCTTCGCAGTTAAAATTGCAGCATTGGAATTATTGTCACATGATATTGTGTTTTCTCTTTGCAATTACTAGGTGATCTACAATAGGGAAACAGATCAGAGTAGAGGTTTTGGGTTTGTGACTATGAGTACTGTTGAAGAAGCTGAGAAGGCTGTACAGTTGTTCCACCGTTATGTAAGTTGCAAATTCCTTTGTTAATTCTTGTTCTTTTTTCTTTTCCAGGCCAATTAAAAAGAGAATAAACTAATTCATTGTCAACATTCTGAACTTAAAAGAAGTATAAATGTAGCAAAAAACATGCATCTTGATACATTTGGGTCCAATTACAAAGTGGCATTACGTTGATTTAATTTCTTAATTCCATGCATCTTTTAATAAATCTTTCCTCCCAAATGCAATGAGAAAACTTGTTAAATTTCAAACTCTCATATAAATTGAGGAGTGTTTCAAAGTTACATTTGTTCTTACACAGGATATAGGTGGAAGACTTTTGACTGTAAACAAGGCTGCTCCTAGAGGGTCACGTCCTGAAAGACCTCCTCGAGTGAATGAACCTTCTTTCAGAATCTATGTTGGTAACCTGCCATGGCAAGTTGATGATTCTCGTTTGGAGCAGGTTTTCAGTGAACATGGAAAGGTGGTCAGTGCCAGGGTAGTATATGACCGGGAAACAGGGCGCTCACGCGGGTTTGGTTTTGTTACGTTTTCTAGTGAGACAGAAGTGGATGATGCCATTGGTGCTCTTGATGGACAGGTTATAGACTTGCCTTTGTTTCAAGAGTGTTGAAATTTTATCTTTCTGCCAATTTAGAGTATGCCAAGAAACTGATAACTACTTTAGTTTCTAGGATATTACTCAATCCATTAGGTTTTCGGATGTTACTCAGACCATTAGGGATTCATAATTCTGCAACAGATTAACTCTACTTCCGAATATTGGTCTAGTATATATCATTTGTGGAGTCTTATCTATTTCTTTGGCCTGTCCGCTTGTATGCAACATCTGAACACGTTTGAGACAATCGAGTCATGGATCTCTGCCAATTGACTTGGACTCAGTCCCATAATTCATAAAAGGGAAGAGCCATGAAGTTCTCATGTTTGATTAAGTCATTCGTTTTCGTGTTTTAGACTCAAATGAAGTCACCTTACAACTAATTGTGTATTGTTATCTTGGTGCCTTTCTGTTAATTAACAAAGACCCTCATTTTGTTCTACATTGGTTGTGCAGAGTTTGGATGGCAGATCAATCCGAGTAAATGTTGCTGAAGAGCGACCAAGGCGTGGCTCATTTTCTACTTAAGAAGATAATTATTCAATATTTTATATGAGCAGATTGGTGCTTAGCTTTTGGAGAGGGTCCTAGCATTCTTCAACTTTTGCCCCAATCTTCTTATATTTCCTTTCTTCGACGAGATATTTTCTTTTAGGGATTTGAAGTTTTTACAGATAGGTTATTATTCTACCTTGTGTATCTTCTAGCATGTTGACAACAGTATGTCCTGTATCATCTTTGTTACTTTGTATCAATCCAATGCAATTCTCCTTCTCATCTGATTACATTTACGTCTCCTTCTCATCTTATTACATTTTTGACACATGCAAAAATAATTCATAAAAAACACAAAAGGAAAAATTAATGCACACATGTCACACACTATTTAAGGAGGGAAGTATTTTTCATTGACAAATGTACAAAAACAATACAGAAATGAAAGTTTGTGTATTGACCCAAAAAACAAAAAAAGTCTGCAAATGTCCACAAATGAACTTTTTTTAGCTTCCGGTTAGAAAAAGGGAAAATTAGGCTTAAAAAAATTTAAGCCTCAACAAAAGGGACATTTGAGACAAACTGGCTTATGCTGTTCTTATATTTAACTCAAGAGGATCGTGATAGAAGTTTCCAAAGAATTCCATAACCTTGAATTTCGTAACTTTCTGTACTCAGTATACAGTAAAAGATGTACAATGTGCGATTCCAACCATATTATGCAGAGAATAAAGCCAATTACAAATGAAAAAAATTATATCAAAAACTTCATCTCGCATTCGTCTGAACTTTTGAGGTGCTCCAAAAATTTTGCACTTCTGGGCCATAACGGTCAAAATCATCAAATTTACTGGTCAAGATTAGATGCTCAATTTTGTGTATTTGTACCAAAATTCTGTGGTCTAGTGGAAGATTTCTACAAAAGACTCAAAGTGTGCATGGGCAGAAATTACTTGTTGGAGCAGTGAGAAAGAAAGCCTGATGACTGCCATCTCCCTTTCTTCCTTTTTGGGTACTACTGATGACTACTATCTTCGTTTAGCAAAAGAAAATTTCAGCCCTAGTACAGCGAACTTCCGTTGGTTTCATATAGGCGTATTAGAGCTTTTTTCAGATTAAGCTACTTGGCTAGCTTTCTAGCTTTCTCAACTGCTTCAACATAATAATACAATCTCCAAAGTGTTACATTACTCTGCAAGTAAAAGATACAACTTTAGAAACGAGTTGAAATTCTAATTAGTTCACAAACCAGGTAATTTTGCATCTTCTTACCTCTTTTTCAAGGTCCACATGAATTTCATCAGAGGAATTTGTACAAGCTGCGTTCCTATGTTGGAGCATTTCTGCAACACGGTCAAGATTTTTTGGTGGTAACTTCTGAATCAATTTTCCAAGCTTGTGTTTCTCAGGAAGGGTCATAGGCCTGAAAAGTTCACAGTTACAAGAGAGAGAGAGAGAGCAATGTATGACCTAAGCAGGTCAGTAGTGCTTTGTTGAGATCTACATCAGAAATTCAAAGCTGAATTTTCACTTATTTAACAATTTATCAAGAAACATTAGATCCTATGAGGCCCAATGTTTCCAATGGATATGTAGAATTGAATACTATTGTGGCTCAGAAATATCAACTATAGAAAGCAAATTATTAACAACTACCTGCATGAAGCCATCACAGTATCAAGAAGTTTTTCAAGCTGCTGTTCCATGTGCCCTAGCTGAAAAACAGACATAAATTCAGTTCAGATATAAATCATCGTAATGTATCAAACATTGGAAAGATAAACTTCATATTCCTGATGAGAGTTATGATATAACCATATATTTGAGAAAAGGGAGTTTGATCAGGCTTTGCAGTACTGGCAAAGAAAAAATTTCAGAGAATTACTGTTGCAGAAAATTCATCAGAATATTTCTTCACTGTCTCCTCAACCTGCAAGCTATCCTTCTCTATAAGGAACTGCAAATCATCGTCAACCTGAAGAGTAGAATTATGATAAAGCCACCCGTTAGTAAGTTGCCAACATCATGCATAAATTGCTACACAACACACCCACCCACACACACACAAAACCCTTGCCTAAGCATCCTACTTTCTCCTCCTTTCTTCAGTTAAACAAGTTTGCAAGTATTACAGAGTAAGAAAAAAATAAAGACCCAAAAACAAAAAAATCAGGGCGTGTTTGGAAGGGTGGGCAAGTGCAACCTTTTGGATGTGACACAACCCCACAAATAGAAGGGCAGTAACAAGAATGTTAGTCACCTTTGGCTCCTCCGGAACAGCTATCAACCTAGCTGTTTCTGGTGTGAGGCCATGAGCACAGTTCTAAACAACATTAGAAAAGTTCAACCATAAATTTCTACATGATATGAACCATTACAAAACCCAGTGACTGCAAAGCTTGGGTTATGCAACACAAAAGAAAAGGCAATTGGTATTACAACTGCTTTGTCCTATTGAAAAATGTTATAAGAAAAGAGAGAAGAAAAAATCTTCTGCATTAACTAAAACATAAAAGATCTTACTTCAGAGTAAACGCAACAAAAACATAAAGCTTTAGAAAAAAAATATATTTGTGGGAGGTATCACATCCCCTAAGAAGTCTAAATGTTAGCCAATTCTGAGCATAAAAAATATATGCAAATCTGACAAATTAGAGGAAAATGGCCACCTTTATCAAGCATTTTCACAAAAATTTCTCTTTTAACTACACATTTTCAATCCATTAAAATAAACGCGGAAAACCTGAAACTTGATAAGAATGACAATGCAACAAAATGAAATATAACCTCTTTGCTTGACTCGAGATTGGCAGGAGTGGAAAGTGCAGGGAGACTGGTTGAAGAGAAAGAAGAAGATCTCTTTGGTCTCTTAGAGTGAGCATTCCTTGCATCAATGTCAGGTAATGTACCTTTAGAAGACGATAGACAGTTTCTGCTCTTTAGCTGAGATTTTAACCGGCTGATAGCGACAACAGGTTCTAGCATCTGCATTTACACATATGGTTATTACAAGTACAGATTCTAAATAAGCATTTTTATCTCACAGGCTTGGTTAAACATAGGCCTCATATGTGAACCCATACAATTGTTGAATATTATCAAGTGTCACATCATCCATACGAAATGTGAATGCAACAACTAGTTGTGTTCTAAAGAAAAAGAATCTTCTATCTCTTGTTAAATGCACACAACACTTAGTACCGCTAATGTGAAAGCAACATTTTCAATTACATTACGGTAAAGTACCACGACATCATACAACTAAAGGACGACTCAATATCATGACATATTTATTGATTGTTTAAAAAGTATCAAAGTACAATCAGATTCATTTCGTATAATTCAAAATCATGAATGTATATAACCATTCTTGACTTTGTTTGAAGCACCCATTTAAAAACAAAAGGGGGAGTAGGCACATCCCTACATACCTCATCAACTTCTGGTGAAAGAAAATTCACACCCTGCCTGAGCAATGATTTCAATCTTTCGTTTTTGAAATCTGAAGGCCCAGTTCCTATGCTGTTACCAAATAAAGAACCAGAAGTACCATAACTGTGCTCAATAACATCCTTCCCTCTAACATCCCCACTTCTTCTTTGAGATAGATCAGAGGATTGGGAAGCAAAAGGTGGAAAATCTTCTTCTTGTGATAACAACTCTGTAACTAAACGTGTATAGTAACCAAAGAAGTCTGGTCCTACTTTATCATGTTCACTCGAACCAACAAGATCCTTCGTAGCTTCTGACATAACAACAAAAATGCAGCTGCACCACAGAAGAAACAACATTTATACAACATATGATACTAAATTTTCTAAATGGAAAATAATTAGAACATTGGTCAGTCAAAGAGCAGCTAATGAAACGTCTTCCTTTCATAGCCAAATGAAGAAAGTATCTGAAAGAAAACATACTAAAATTTCAAAAGACAAATATCATGCCTTACCAGCTATGCCAAAACAACACTTCTACTTGAGCAAATTTTCTTATCTGCCAGGTAACCAACATGTGGCACATAAACCCTAAACGCAATCTAGAAGGCAATTAGCATGCAAACACATAAACCCTAAACGCAATCTAGAAGAAGAGAGGCGATTTAGCATGCACTTATTTATAAAATACTAACACGTAAACCCTAAACCCAATGTATAAGAAGTACGGTGATTTAGGACGCAATCTTGATACACTAACACATGAACAATAAACCAAATCTAATAGAAGTATGCGATTACGTAGTTCAGAGCGCAAGAGAGATTAAAATCAGAGATTCGATTTAGCATTATCTCCATAAACCCTAGCGCTCCGTTTGGTTTCTCGGAAAATTTAGCAAAAATAAACTAAGAAAACTATGGTCATTGGAGATGAAATTTCCAACATTTTAAACCGCCTTCAACACTGAGCCAATCAAAAGGACGACGTTCAAATTTTTAGTTTATTTTCCATCTTTTCTTTCGTTTTGTTTCTTGGCTTTCAGGCAAACCAAACAGAGCCTGAAGCTAAGAAAGCATAATCAAACAAATGTTACAGAGCGGGAGAGAGAGAGATGGAGAGGGAGCGGGAGCGGGAGCGGGAGAGAGAGATAGAAAGGGAGGGACGCTTACGTACATGATCGGCGCGTTGGCAGAGCCGGCGACCAGAGAGAATGTGGATGATAATTTTTGAGAGCGAACGACGTCGTCGAATGGAAGCCCAGCGTGGACCGGACCGCCTTTTAGATTTCCAACTTTAAGCCGTGTAAAAATTCATCCGAAACTAAAAACTCTGCGTCTAAACTCTAATGATTACTTTCGAAAAAAGTAAAAACTCTAATGATTACTTTCAACGTTACAACATGTCAATCAAAATTGAAATAAAGCAAGCGTAAACGACCTTCTTGCCACGACATAAACACGAAAATAAATTGGATGAAATTTTAAAAAAATTAAGTAAAAATGATATTTTAAATCATATCAAAAGAGGGGGTGCAACACGCATGTCCTTTGTAAGAAACATTTTATTTTGTCAAAGCGAATAGTAACATGATTTAGTCACATAATATACATGACCATATTTGTTGGCTTGAAAAATATTTTTTCATTCTTTTAAATTAAATATAAGGAATATTCTTTATAAAAAAATATATATATAAGGAATTAGGCAAATTCAATTAAAAGGAAAAACTAATTATTATGAAGAGAGACATGTTACTAATACTTGTGTATCTTATGAAGGAATATTATAATGTTACATGATGATATATCTTTTATAATTCACTCTATTCAGGTAAAAGGAACTAAAATTAGTGTATTTATAAAAATACCCAATTCTAGACATGTATTTATAAAAATACCCAAGCACTATTTAAATATAGAAATATACCCAAAATGGGTTTTGGGTATGTGTGTAATGATGGGTTTTGGGTATGTTTATAAATGAGTTTTGAGTGTTTGTAATGATGAGTTTTGGGTATGTTTATAAAGTGTTTTGGGTGTTTGGTATTTTTATAATTTCAGACCCCATTTTGGGTATTTTAGTGAAACTTCCTTTTTTTTAATTATAAAAATTATGGTATTTCATTCATAATTCAACTAAAAGAACCACTAATGTCAATACAAATTTGTCACAAAGAGTCATTACAATAACAGAGTAATCTAACATCAAAATTAAGAAAACATGACGCGAAAACTAGTGTATCTAATTTCTAACATGAAAACATTGAAATTTTTTGTTTTGATTTTAGAACGAGTTTAGAGTTTAGTAGTTCACATTAGAACAAAAATTACAATCAACTGTAACCGAAAAAAAAAAAATTACAATCAACACACGATTCGAACTCAAACATAACTCCAGTTTGGGTCCTAGACATTAGAGGCAAAACCCCATATAAGAATAGGCAAAACCCTGTAGACAAACAACCATTCTTCACAGGGGAAGTCGTTTTTCTTTATTTTTTTCTTTTGGTCCGATCTTCATAGGGGAAGTCAATTCAACACTATCCCTGTACAGCTACGAAGGCTTTAATGGCTTCAACGATCCAAAGGGTCCTTAGAAGATCACAACCCACAAGAATAATCGATGCTTTACACAACCCTGCAGCGCCATATCTTATTCTTCACCAACCTCATCTCGACCAAACCAATCTAGACCCACATCAAATCCTAAATCTAAGTCCAGTGCTGGTTGTACCTAAAACACAGATCTTTGGCTCCTATGGTTTCTCACAGATTTTCCCAAGCTTTCCATTTGGGATTTGTTTAAACCCGAATTCATCATCTGGGTTGGTCTCATCCGAGGCCGAGGAAGTGGAGTTTGATGACTCGCGGAAGGTCTGGACTGATAGCGTGAAGAAGAAGAGGAAGAGGAAGATGAACAAGCACAAGTACAGGAAGCTGAGGAAGCGTCTCCAGAGACAGACTTAGTCTCTTTGTTTGGTGAGATTTGATGATGGGACATTGTGCCGGGCTTTCTAATTTGCTTAATGTGCTATTGGATTTTGCAAGATAAAAGCTTTACCTATCCTTAATGCGTTTTTTGACAGATACAATGAAGTATATTGTTCAGAGCTTAAACATGGTTAGTCATTGTTGTTACATAAGTTTAGTTGCTCTTTAGCTGATTTGGATTGTATTTGTATTTGTTGCTAGTCGAGTCGAGTTTTGATGCTTTTGTTGACTTCGCTTATTTAAATAGATTCATGTATGCATGCCATGGACACATTCTGATGTTACCAACCTAGGAATTTAGAATGGATGTGGGTAGAAATTCATTACTATGGTTATGGATGGGAGCTAAATGTTTATGAGCAAAAGGCCTATGCTTTTGCAATTCCAGATTGCTCATGTCTACAACTGATATCAGAGGATGCTTGCAACTTGCGAGAGACTGTGAGTTTGTGTTCTCATGGCGAACTGTTGATGCAAGTTTTTACCTTTTTATTTCTTTTGATGATTGATGGCGGTCCCTTCATTCTTGTGCAGGATCAAGAATGAAGGATTAGTGCCTGGATGCTGCCTGCCTTATAGTTTAGCATGGTTTTAGAAATCATTGACTGTATTGGAAAACATGAATTTGGTCGAATTCGTATTGAATTCGTATTCGTGTTTGTTTTGAACACACGCAGCTTAGCTTACCAATTTTAGTGTCAAGCACCATTATGCTGTCAATACTGTGTGTCATTATGACTGCTCCCACTGAGATACATTTCAACCTGGTCAAAAGAATTCTGAGATACATTCAAGGTACTATGAATTATGGGATTCACTTTACTCATGGTCCTTGGCAAATACAAGCTTATAGTGATGCTGACTGAGCAGGGGACTTAAATACTAGGAGGTCAACTACAGGTTTTGTGGTATTGCTTGGACATAATCCTATCTCATGGCAGTCTAAGAAGCAAGGGTCTGTATCCAGAAGTTCAACAGAGGCCGAGTATAGGGCATTGGCTAATACAGCTGCAGATTTGGCTTGGATTCAACAGGTTTTGCTAAACTTGAAAGTGTGCTTGCCTCAACCTCCTACCATGTTTTGTGACAATCTGTCTGCTTTGGCACTTAGTAGTAATCCTGTATATCATTCACGAATCAAACATTTGGATATAGATTTTCACTTTGTTTGTGAAAGGGTTCAAAGAAATGATCTTACTGTTCAGTATGTTCCTACTCAAGAGCAAATTGCAGATGTGTTTACTAAAGGACTTCATAGTCCTATTTTCTTAAGTCACTGTATTAGTATGCGACTTGGAAATCCAGAGCAGGATCCGGAGTTGGGTTTGAGGGGGAATGATAACAATATTAGTTAGTTTGTATTCAGATATGCTGACACATGTGTGCTCACGTGTTTTTAGTAAGTATTAGCTGTAATTAGTTAGATTGTTAAGTCTTGGTTATTGAGATATATAACACTGATGACACTACGATTGTAAACATTCCTGTGAAATCAATATACAGAGCATATCATTTTCTTGAATCTTCTTCTTTCTTCTAAGCTTTCTCAATTCTTAAGCTTCCTGTTCTAAACTGTTAAAAGTTTAGACAGTACAGCAATATAAATGAAGAAAAATGTTCCCGTACAATAACAGAACTTGTATCTTAACTTTTCTGTCTCATTTCCGTAGTTTTACAAATAATGTGAGGTTCAGTTGTCCATCTTCTGCTTTGTGTGTGAACCGATTGAAAGAGATTATTAGAGGAGAGCTCTCTCTATATCTCTATGAACAGACATACCTGAAATAGCCAAGCTCTCTGTGTACTCTCTGTCTCGTCTCAATCGCAGCCGCTGGCTATGGCTTCAATTCAATCAACAGGTTTTTTGGCAAAAGCCCAAACCAAACCACGCCAAATGATGAAAAGGGGTCAACCCAAATCCAAATCAAACCGGCAATCGTTTGGGTCTCATTGGGTCAGAATTTTGGCCCAATTGGGCTTCAAACACATGACCCGGAAACATGGGATCCAAACCCGTGCACAAAGTTAATTCCTTTTCATTCATTAATATGTGTAGTGTAGTTGAAGGCGATCCAAACCAAACCAAAATGTATCATTCAAGATTTCAAGTAATGTGCCAATGTGGGAATGTGTTCAACTGCTGTGGTGCCCACTGTTCTTAAGAAAGGGGACAATCCCCTTATATTATTGACTAGCTCATACTAAACCTCAAAATTATTGGGCCATCCTGCCATATATCATCTGAAATTGGCAATCGGATTTTAAAATTTTAGTTTTTCTGCCTTGTTTGGAGTATGGTCCTTTCCAACAATAAAGATGATTCTATGTACGCGTAGTGCATAAAAATGACACTATTTGAAAACAGAGTTCATATTAAGGATGCTGATTGAGCCAGGTTTTCAAATTTTGATCTCCTTATACATGAAATTATACAATGGTATTGAAGTAGGATCACATGGTATAACTTGTACACGCATATATATTATTCATTTATATTATAACATATGATAGTATTATTGTGCTACACTATATTTACTCGTTCTTTCATTGTTTTATTAAAACAAGAAGGATATATGGTATTTATGTTCAGAGGCCATTAACGGAATCTCGGCTACTTAAAAGAGACATGTCTCATCAACCCCATCACCATAACAGGGAGAAAGATATTTAAAGGGGAGTGAGCCCTACCACTAGGTTTTCATTTTCCTTTGCTTGATTTGATGATATTATCATTATGGATCCCAAGACGACATAAACATACAGCTTTATTCTGCCTTTGGCTTCATTCTCTTCTCTGTCGATCGTCTATTTGATTTCGTTGTAGTTATATTGGTCGTTCTTGAGTCATTTTCCACCTACGATTTTTAGTGTTTGTCTTGTTGACCCGAAGCTGGCTGAGCCCTGAAATTTGGCCTTAAAGTTGTGGCTGCCTGGCTGGTTGTTATACCAAGGAAAACAACGTTATTAGTATTTGACCAACTGACCCATTTGGCACGTGATGTGCAAACTTTCTTTTCATCAGGAGGAGCTTAGGAGGATCCCTAGCTAGCTAGCTAGCTAGCTATGAAGTGCTGGCATTTTCATTTTTTTATATGAGACCTTAAAAGGAGCAACCTTTTTGTTTTCTGCAACTTTGTAATAAATAAAGAAATCACAACAAAACCCATACATCATCTTGCAACATTTTTATTTACACTTACGTTTATGGAAATGGGTAAATACCAGTACTGGGATCTGTGGAATGGTGAGAGAGAGTTGAATATCTGTTTGGGCATTCTGGGTGGGACAAAAGGGTTTTGGATATGAACTCACACCAGATTGGAGAGCAATTTTACAAATTTCTGTTTACATGAAGATGGGCAAATTGAAATACCAGTACTGGGATCTGTGGCAGGCAGGGCATGAAAAAATCAAACAATCATATGACTTGTGTATTGGTCACTTCAATTCAATATGATTTATATCTGGTGTGGGTGTGAGTGTGACCTCTGAGGGGGATGGGAGTGTATTGTAATTTGCATGCCTTGTTGCTTTGCATAGCTGAAGAGACCCTTTCACAATTTTTGAAATCTTTTTGGGTTTGCTGTATCACCTAAAAAGGAAGAAAGGGAAAAAGTGAAAACAGTATTCTACTCAACTGTGTTTTTCAATTCTTTCCTTCATTTCTCTTCAAGTTTCTCAAGTCTATCACCAAGAAAACTAACATAATCTTCATTAAAACCCAAATTCAGGACACCAGAGTAGTTAGCTACATCAAAGGGTCCATTTCATATATGGTTATCATTAAAGAATCCTGCGTGTTATTAAGAGAGTCTGATTAACTGAGAGAGCTAACTTTGTTTTTTTAGAGCACTGTTCGTCGACATAAATTTTGCATCATCCAACATCCCCACCCAAATTCATAATGTGATTCAGCCAGAGCAAAGTTGGACTTTCATTCTGATCTTTCCAAATTATCAAGCTCTCTTTTTATGTATTTTTATTCTCTCTTAGCTGGGGAAAGCTACCTCTCCCTGGAATCCTAAGCACTATTGCGCCAACCTCATGTGTGGGCTTTGCTTTAGTTCTGATTTTTGGGCATGTTAATTGGTTTTCACATTGGTTTATCTTTTATCATCAACTTTAATCATTCGTTTTTTTTTTTTTGGTTGAATTGGCAGGAACGGCTCATGGTGAAAAATTGAAACGACAAGCAACTTTATCCACATGGGTGCATGGGGGGTTAGTGGTTAGTGGTTTTGCAAACTGCACTTCTACTTCTGTCAATTTCCCCTGACCCTACAAATGATGCATGCAAAGGAGGAGGAGGTCCCATGGTCCATCCCCTCTGTGTGACTCACTCTGACTGTGAGGCTTTCACCCTATCATCCCGAGAAAAACATGTAAATCACGGAGATAAGGATAACACTGTTTTGCTATCTCAAACCAATTAAACTGTAAAACACAATGAATCCTCTCTCTCCTCTCTTTTTTCTTTTTTTTCTTTGCCTCTTTTCTGCTAAGTAGACACATTCTCTCTCTCTCTCTCTCTCTCTCTATCTCTAGTTCTTTATGCTCCATCTCTCTCTCAACTGCACACGGAGACATATATGATATACATACATTCGAAGTAGCTCATATAATATATTTATAATAGCCACGATGACAAGAACAACTTCTCTTCTCTCTGATTGAGTCTCTCTTTTTCTTTTGCCGTAAAAGAATAAAGTCTAATCTTCTGGAGAAAAGGAAAAAGCAGCAAGGAATGTCGATCTGAGCTTAATTCCCACATAAAAATCCAATCAAAATTAATATTCTTTTTCCCCATTACAGTGAGAGAGAGAGAGAGAGAGAGAGAGAGAGAGACTGAGAGTGCAATTCAGAGAGAGAGAGAGAGAGAGTGATGGGTGGGGTGACCTCGTCCATGGCGGCCAAGTTCGCCTTTTTCCCACCGAACCCACCATCCTACAAGCTCATCACAGACGACCACACTGGTCTCTTGCTTCTCAGCCCATTCCCTCACCGAGAAAACGTCGAGGTTCTCAAATTGCCGACTCGGCGTGGCACTGAGATAGTGGCCATCTACATTCGCCACCCCTTGGCCACTTCTACTCTGCTTTACTCTCATGGCAACGCCGCCGATCTGGGCCAGATGTACGAGCTGTTCATCGAATTGAGCATCCACTTGCGCGTCAATCTCATGGGGTACTCTGTTTTGCTACTTCTACTACTCTCTCTCTCTTCCAAGTTTACCTCTTTCTTTGATACTTTCTACTATTTTCTCTGCCACTTTTGGAATATTGGCTTCCAGATTTCGAGCTTTTTGCTCTTTGTTCTCACTTACTTGTCAGTGTTGGCATCTGGGTTTTTCTAAATTCGGAGCTTTTTGTTCGTTTTTGTCACTCGCTTACTATTCTTGGCATCTGGGTTTTATTAGTCCAGTGATCAGCTGTACTTTGCTGGTATTTTGTGGTAATTTGAATGTTTCTTCGTATTGATTTGCTATACAGTGGATGTATTGTAAGTGGTGAGCTGGAATTATGGTAAAATAGCTTGAAAGGCATTTTGGAGTAGTTTTCTTGAGACTTCTAGTAGAATCCTTCTAAAATAAAGGTTTGATTTTTAGTTATGGATAAAGTGCGATGTAGCTGGGGTTTTTATGCTTAGATATACCCGTTAATTTCATGAAATCGAAATTAGTTATGATGCTGTGGTTCGGTCCATTGATCTACCATTTCTGTGATCTATTGATTGAATTATCCAGCCCCTTTGCGTGCTTAGAGTGAACAGTCCAGTTTGAGATGATAGTGTAACTGCTAGCACCTTTCATACTGTGAGGATGCAGTTTGGTGTAGCTTTGTGCCTAAAGTGCATAATTGATTGTGTAGTCTTCACGCTGCATGATGCCTTTCCATGCCAGTGTCTAATACCAGCAATCACCACATCCATAAGTTCCGGCTTTCTTCTAAATTTTGTTTTCGACAAGTTATGCCATCCTTGATTTTTAGAAATAAATTCTTCATTATGTGATTTATCATTTATCTGTTATGTGTCATTATAATTAAGAGTATTCGCTTTGTTACAATTACAAGTCTGAGTAATAAAATAGAATGGTGGTAAAATCCTTATATATATCTGCAATGTTTTGCAGGTATGACTATTCAGGGTATGGGCAATCATCTGGAAAGGTCTGTTATTTGAACAGTTATCTTTTTGTATTAACTAGTTGTTGAGCACAACGCATCGTGTAAGGCCGTATTTTCTCTGTTCCAGGCAAGTGAGCAGAATACATATGCAGATATTGAAGCTGCATATAAGTGTCTTGAAGAAAGCTATGGTACTAAGCAGGAAGATATCATTCTCTATGGACAATCTGTTGGAAGTGGCCCCACATTGGATCTTGCTGCTCGGCTGCCTCAGTTAAGAGCTGTTGTCCTGCATAGTCCCATACTATCTGGTTTAAGGGTCATGTATCCTGTAAAGCGTACATACTGGTTTGACATTTATAAGGTAAGACAACTCCTTTCATTTTGGTTATTCTATCTTATGGTTGGTTGGCGAGTTTATGACCTTGATCTAATTGTATGCTTTATGGTGTCATTTGTGCGCAGAATATTGATAAAATTCCACTGGTCAATTGTCCTGTTCTCATCATTCATGTAAGTATGCGACTCCAGATTTTTCTACTTTGTATTTGCTTATATAATTAATGTATGCCCATATTAGGTTTATAGATGTATGAGGCATGAAAGACTGGCATAAGAATGACTTTTTTTTGTTTTGCTTCTTTCGCATGCTTTGTAAGTTCCATACCATATAGGGTTTAGATTATTTGTTCTTTGGATGGTCAAATACATGGCCAATTTTATAATCCAGCAGGATAATTTATTCTTCTGATTTGCTTTAGATCTCTATAGGTTGACGTGATGAGATGAAATTTTACTGTTTATTGGGAGAGTAATTTGTTTGCATGCCAGATAACAAATTGTCAACAGTTTTTTTGTTGGTGCATCGGATCGGAGAATAGAAACCCTGCAGTTCTTAACGGTTTATTTCCTAGGCTACAAATTTCTTAGCTCAATAATGGAATTTTACGAAAGAGAGTATTGCTGCTGTTGAATAAGGGATTTCTTTGATCCTCACGCATCTGGAATGCCATGTTGAAGGGTTATCTAGGGTGAGATGACAATCGTCCTTGTTTAATTCGTAAATCTTCACATTTGTTCGTCATTATATCTTTTTGTAGGGAACTGCGGACGAAGTAGTTGATTGCTCTCATGGGAAGCAACTGTGGGAACTGTGTAAAGAGAAGTATGAACCACTATGGCTTAAAGGAGGGAACCACTGTGATTTAGAGCTGTATCCTGAGTATATCAGGCATCTCAAGAAGTTCATATCAACTGTTGAGAAGTCTCCTTCCCAAAGGTACAATTCTAGGCGAAGCACAGACCAATTTGAGCAGCCTCGGAAGAGTACTGATGTTTACGAAGTTTCAAGGAAGAGCACAGATCGAAGAGAGAAACCAAGGAAGAGCACTGATAGGCCTGAAAAGCTGAAAAATCAATTCATTAGTGCTGATAAACTAGAAAAATTAAGAGTATCTTTTGATCATATGGAAAGGTCTCGGAGAAGCGTGGACTGCCATGAAAAGTCCAGAAAAAGTATTGACCACCAACTGGACAGAGCACGGAAGAGTGTTGATCGGTTGGATAGAATACGAACTGGGTAAACGTTGTTATAAAACCATATGCAAAATTCAAAGCCTGGGTTTGGTGTTGTGGGAAAATTATTTGGGTCTTTCTTTCTTCTAATTTATGGTATTCTTGCTGTGTAATTTGTATTTGTGGCAGTTGTATAACTACTATTGCATGAAATGAGAAAGGGTTTGGGTTTATTATGGTTTTCTTCTTTCATGTGAATGCAATCCACTCTCTTGGGTTCTCACCAGAAGGGAACAGAATTACAAAAGAGTGGAAAGTGAAAACCTTACTCAATTGTAATGTATTGACATAAACTATACCTACAAACAAACTACAAATTGAAAAAGGCATTGGCATAAACGTCGCAGATGACAAACTACGCTCCATACTGTGATGATATCTTCTATTCTCCTTAGGCCAGGAGTTGATGCCATTGACATTGAGTAGCGATCGCTATTATCATTGTGCTCTCTACTAACTTTTTTGGAGTGCAGAGTACATGATAACCTTTTTGGAATACCCATAACAAAGGCCCGACTGTCTTTTTTTTAGCACCGTTATTTTTTGGAATACCAATAACAAAGGCCCGATTGTTTTTTTTTTTTTAAATCACAAACGGTGCTAGCCAATTTTACATCGCATCTCCACTAGGCTTTACAAACGTGATGGCTGATAAACTCAGGGAGGATGCAAACTAGTTTGGATTTGGAAACGACAATTGACCATTTGGAGCAATTTCCGATGTTTAATACTTTAGGTTGTAAACTCGGTCCAAGCCCGCCAATAAGCTGGACTGAAACTCAAAAGTCCTCTCGTTGCGTTTTCAACTCCATCAGCTTTCAATCAATATTTCAATCTCTCATTCTCAAATTGTGACACCAGAAATGGTTCATTCTAGTTCTTTATTGTATTACTCGTATATTCCCTAAAGCAGTTTACAACTTGGTGTTGATTACACATTCTGCATGAAACATGACTACAATTTGATTACACATTCTAATTTCATTGCTGTCAGTGAAAATAGCTTCTGAGCAGGTTATGTATTTTGTTCCTGCAACCATCTATTGTTGCAAAGTGCTGACTTCTGTGTGAACCAACATTCCAAGTTTCACCTAGTCCTCGCTTTCGTGCAAACGAGCTTAATTGAATAAACTGCCATTTATCGGAGAGAGCCAGCTAGAGTTCAGGTTTGCGCTCAGAGTGCTCAACTATGGCTGACGGAGGAAGGGAGCCAATGCAGATCTCATGAACTGTTGCAAACAGTGGGAAAAACTCTAGCCACCCACGGTGGCTTAAAACTTCATAAACCTCTTTTGCTGTTGACACACCCTTCAGAAAAGGAAAAAATAACTGTTAAATAATGAGAGTTATATAAACAGATAGCTTCAGGCTGCATCTGCACAAGATCAAGCTATAGATATGTATGTGGACTCAAAATACAAATCCTCTTAAGTTTCTTCCAGATACTATTAACAAGTTAGAAATAACAAAGATATGTTTGAAAACCATCACAACTTCTTGTGCATATGTAATCAATGTACAAATCTGAGTAATAACACAGTTCAGTTATCTGTTTATAATGTTTAATATAAACCTGTAATTTTTGACCCTGCAGCATTTCTGCTTCGAGCTCATCAAACGATCTGCAGACAACAAACATAAGGGTGATAGTTAAATACTTCTTACTTTTACAAGGTTTATCTGCTGGAGCTTTAAAGCTTTTACCTTTTCCCTCCACTCCTTGCAAAAGCTTCAGCAACTTTCCTGTTTCTTCCACCCACTGCCATACACACTGAGGTAAGACAGAAACTTAAGAAAGAAAAATAAAATAAATAGAAGGAAGAAATCCTCCTGCTTCCTTACAGCATGTTGTGATGAGATCAGCAACACCACAGCTTTCAAAGAAGGTGCTGTCCTTGACAGATGAAAACAACATCTTGGAAAATGCCTTCATCTCTCTTAGACCAATTCTCATAATTGCAGCCTGGTCATTCAAAAGAAGCAGTCAAAATGAAATAGAAAAGGCAGATGAGACATGGGTTCAAACTATACAGAAATGTTTGAACTTACCTTTGTGTTATTTCCCATCTCCAATCCATCCACAAAACCTGTTCCATTAGTGATTAAACCCTCTATTAATTGCTCATTCAAACTTGAGAAGGGAAAGAGACATTCGTACTACAAACCTGCTGCTATGGCCACAACATTTTTCAGGGTCCCACATAGTTCTACTCCTTCCACGTCTTGGACCTATAAATTTCATACGACCCAAAAAGTGTGAACGGAGCAAACCTTCAATATTTAGTGGATATAAATCACAAAATCCAATTTTATGATGCATCAAAAGCTTTCAGTGCTTACATGCGATCAAATGCTTACTACATTGAGTGGATGTTAAAGTAGTTCCCGCCCATGCCAAGTTTCATGATAGTAAGAGTACTTTATTATGACATTGATTTGTAACAATGTATTTGATGTACTCACAGGTGTGACTATGAAGTAGGGAGTACTAAACAAATGAACCCATTTCTCTGCAATCGCTCTGTTTTCTCTGTATCCAACTGTGGCTTCACTAAATTTCTCCAAAGCAATCTACACAAACAGTCTCTAATTTCAGATAAACTAGATTTGATCATCTGGCACAAGAAAGCTATAAAATAGATTGAAAAGTCGGGCCAAATTACCTCATTAGCTATGTTTGCTCCCATTAGAACACAACAATTAATGCCCAACTGCTCTGAGATGAGTGTAGAGATCATGCACGGGCCCTCCATCTTGACCTCCATTCCTTTGATGAGGGAGATAGCTTCCACATCCCCTTTTATCTTCCCTACAAGTCTCTTGCATATACCCTCCATAAATTGATGTGGAGTGACAAACACCAACATGTTTGCACCATTCACTGCAAAATCCCCCACTTGAATTACAAAAATTTGCTCCAAGTACCCAACAAATTACACAAGTTTAGAAACATCGAAATTGAGTACCTGCATTATCAAGGTCTGGGTCTGCAACAACATTTTTCCCCAGCTTTATGCCGGGCAGATATTTCACATTTTCCTATTGAAGAAAATGGATAGGAAGATTAAATGGGGAGAATTGGTTCATCACATATAAGAGGAGAGGAATGAATGAATGTATGAAAGGTCATTGATTTTTACATTGTTTCGGTTGATGGCATCTGTGAGCTTCTCACCACTCGGTAACGTTTCCTCAAATACCCACATTCTCACTTCATCTGAATTTCATTGGAGAAAAAACAAAACTCGAATTGAAAATGGAAGTAAATCAACTGAACATGTATTGGAAAATCAGAATCTTCATTCATTGAACAGCCAAGACCACAAAAGCCCAGAATCAAACAGGGAAATGCAATTAACTTGACATTCTTTAAGAAATCAGACCCTGTTCCAAAATCAGGCTCTATTCAGTTTCTCAACAGCAACCAAATCCAAACGTAGAATTCAAGAATAGCGGATAAACCAAAATTCTGACTGGTGGCATAAATAAAAATCCAGACTTGCATTGCATTGCATTGCATGCAAAAAAGAAAATGGAAATGTCGAAAACAAATAATAAATGAAAGATATACCATGGAAAGAAGAGAGCCTGAGGGTATTAGAGGCAATGAGTTTGGCAGCCACACTGCCCCAGTTGCCACTACCCACAACGGTGACTTTGGTTTTGTGAAGAGCTTCATGGTCACTAGCGTAAGTGTTGTTATTCTGGGGCAGAGTTTCTCCGTCTTGTTGAAGTTCTGGAGCCATGGATGAAGAGAGAGAACGAGAGAGAGAGGGAGAGAATACGGAAGAAAGAAGCAAAGGGTAAATGGGTAATGCGTGGAAGAGAGGAATAGGAGCGAGAGAGGAGGGCAGGAGAGAATATAAGAGAGAAGACAATCGTCGGGGCGGAGATGCCATACACGTTTCGTCACAAACGATGTGTTTCCAGTTAAATCTGGCGATCTCCTCTATGATTGACACTTTGACACTATATATATTTATGTGTGTTTTATCTCTCCTGCCCAAATAATTTTTTTTTTTTTAAAACTCATATAAATATTGATTTTAATTTGATATTTTAGTCATGTAATTCTAGCTAAATTCTGTATTTTTTTTAATTTATTTTTTTATCTAGACTTAATAAAGACAATATTAATACTTCAAGATAAGAATATATGGTTTATATTGGTGCCATTGGTCAATGTAGTGGACCCATTTGATTTTGGTATCAATACCCTTACCCTACGTAATATCTACTAATAACTAAAAGGTTTAATAAATGAAAATTTCCAAAGGGAATAAGATGGAGCGAGGTTCCACTCTTCTTGTAGACGCATATAAAATGATATATTATTATGTTCGCAAGAGATTTGTAGTTAAATACCTCATCTAAGGGGCCTTACCTCACTATAGAATTCTTGATAGTTGAGTTATGAAGAGGATAAATGTGGTGGGCAGGATTTTGAATTTCTAGGGTAACAGCCGTCCTATATATTTATCTTTGTCTGGTTGTTTGGGCTAACCAGAGGTTGTGCCGATGAGACCACCATGGAGATGGAGATGGAGATATGGAGGCCCATAATCTATTACTTAATCCCCACCTAATCAAACCCATTACAAATCCCAAGGTCCTTGTTTTCTTTCTAATAATAGACTAGTAGTTCTAATTATGATAAATGATCTTAGAAGAACCATGCGCTAACACCGGAGAGCCAAGAAAACCCATCTCTGCTCTCTCCCCATCCCATCCTACCAAACTACATATATCCCTACTCTCCCTCCCACCACCCACGTCCACCTTCTTATAACTTGACTGCGTACACTTTGATAAGACAAGAAGCAAACATGGCACGCCAACTGATTGTCCTTGCTCTCATCTTTGTTGCCATTTCTGGGGTTTTATCACAAGAACCAAGCACCTCCCCTCCCTCACCCTCACCGGCCGATGCACCAGCCTCGTCGCCTGACGCTGCCACCTCATCATCATCATCATCATCATCAGCTCCTTCTCCCGGCGCCTCTGATGCTGCCGCTGCCTCCCCTGCCTCAGCCCCAACCCCTGTTAGCGATATATCTTCGCCACCTGCTCCTTCCCCTGCAGGCGGCGACAGTGAGGTAGCTGCCCCCGGAATCCAGGCCACCGAAGCTGATGCGGCAGCTGCCCCAGAAGGCATTATCACAGCTGAGGGACCAGTAGACCCTTCATCAGCTGAGGAGGATTATCCCATCGATGATTTCTCTAGGCTCATCAAGAATTGAGGAGTTTACCTCTAATTAATTTATTCATTCATCAAGCTACATTTTGTTTATATTTAATTTAATAGAGTTCCCATGCATAGATTTATTTATTAATGGTACCTCTCTTAGACCACAAAATAATAATATACCGAAGATGATCTATTGGGGCAACCTTGCTATGCTATACTATACATATGTTATATTCTTCTTCACATGGATATTCTTTTGTTTTTGTTTTTGTATCTTCATTATTTGATCACTACTAATTTTAAGTTGATTATATTACGAATCCAACAATTATTTGAAATTGTTAATTTGCGATAGCTCTCTGGCTTTCACTGCCAAAATGGGAACGAAACTTGGCAGCTTAAAATGTTCCATAAATTCACATGTTAAGTTATATATTGGTGTAATTCAAGTCGCCGTTTAAAATATTTATCCTTACACACGAAGTCTAGTATTCGATTTTCCCTCTTTTCAATTTCACATATGTATAAATAATAATAAAAACTTTGCCATGTAAAAAGAAAAAAAACAAAAAACGAAGGCAATAACCCATCCAAAAAAGCATGCTTAACAAATATTCGAACTTTGGGTATTTTTCAACATTGAAACTACTAAACTAATAAATTATCAGTGGTACTGGAGAATCATGTCATGCTTAATTAAAATGTGATTTACGAATGTAGCTGTCCACTTCATCTGACATGATTATCATGACATGTTGTGGTTCTCCACTTCATTTGTCACATAAGGTGGTATGAGAATGTAGTAAGAGTAGCATTACTCATAATGTTTTGAATTTCTTCCTCTACCTTAACAAACGAATAAAAAAGGAAAGGATATTTGAATTTGAGAAATATTAGTGTGTGTGTGTGTGTAATCATGTATTTGGATTGTGATTGACCACTCATA